GAAATAACGCTGATGCATATTCCGCGCTGGTATCTTCGGAGCTGCTCAGCCGCCGGCAAGTGATTACAAACAACTTGCGTCGCGAGCGAGGAAAAAGTGCGCGCACTTAGTCAGTCGTATAGACCACGTTAAATAGACGTTCCATTTTCACGGCACAGTTTCGCGGCTTCGTCGGCGTCGCGAAGGTCGGAACCGCACGCCCGTCGTCCCCACCTCGAGGCCGCCACCCTCGTCGTCTTTTCCCCGTGCGCCAGTCACTCATTTGCCCCCGCCTTCCAGTCCCCTACCAATCGCCGCCCCCTCTGTTTGACGCGCGGCTTTTCGCGGCTTTTTGATTCCGAGGCGCCAAACCGAGAATAAAGAGGCGTCGTCAACGACGTTACATCTCCTTCGTGATTAAGTTGAGGCGCTACCACGAGAAGCGTCAATTTATCAATTAACCTGTCTTTTAAAAGATTGTTAAGTAAACGCCGGAAGTGACCCAATTGAAGGTGGGATAGTAAAAATATGCGGCCAGCGATCGGAGACCTATTCGTCAACCAATCGTGATGCGACTAACGTTACACGCGTCCGAAATAGACCTTGCTAAACTGTTCCCAAAGATCGATCTTGGCTTTTCTGTATTTATTTCTTTCCTCCCTTCGTCCTCCCAACCTCACTATTTAATTTATCATTCAATTTAACGTGAGCATGTTATAAGTGAGCAATTAATTGATTAATTAATTTTTTTTTTTAATTAATTAATATATGTATATTTGCTGACGAACGTCGTGACTAATGCAAATTGGAATCAAAGTAACATTTATTATAATTAGTGAATTTTTTTTTTTATTTATTTTTTTTTTTTTTTTTTTTATTAGAACGCGTATTCCACGCTTTAGAAGGTATTGGGATTTGAAATGATTATTATTGGGCGATGCCGGTATGAGCAGCGCGCGTTGAGTGCAAGTCGATCATGCAGATTCGTTTATGGGAATTAATAGAAAAGTGACGAGACGAAAGTTCACAGTGATCGCTTAGCAGCTTTGTGCTGTACTTCTTCTACTTATCGTTCTCAGATGGCAGCACTAATCAGCCTACTCTCCTTTAATTTAACAATACTTTTATAAGTTTTTTTTAAATAAAGCAACTATAGGCATACAGCTTAATAATAATACGTTAATCGTAAACGGTAGATTCGAAAAGTTGAGGAATCTCTTAAACTGAAGGTCACTTGTATTGAGTATCGACGTTATATTTGAAAACGATAAAATAGGGAAGAAAATTGAAAGATAAGTGCTTAAATGATGTAAATCCAAATGGCTAATAGTGGAAAAAAGACACGTTAAATATTTGAATTTCGACATATTATAATGTTAAAGTAATTTAGCTGAGCGCTAACTATACTTTTTATATGTTAATCTAGAATAATGAAGACATAACAAAATGGCTCGCAGATATTCAAGACAGGGTAAGTCCATACATTACTTCTTTTATCCATTCATTTGTTTTTTATTTATTTATTTATTTATTTATTTATTTTCATTATTATTATTATTATTATTATTATTATTATTATTATTATTATTATTATTATTATTATTATTATTATTATTATTACTATTATCATTATTATTAGTATTATTATTTTAATGTATTATATTGCCTGGATAATTTCTTAATAATGAAGGTAACATTTATTATTATAATCTTAAAGAATTCTCTTCGGAAGTGAGGCGCAGTGTGGATGGTAATGTAACGACGTCTGTCACTGAACGAATCACCAGTCGTGCCTCGTTACAATCCTCAGCAGTAAGTAATATTGAATATTGTTTTAATGTAAAATAATATAATCTTTAATCGAAACCATCAATTGGCACATTAATTTTTTGTATTGCAAATTTTTTTTTTTTAAGGATAAATAGAAAATTTTCTTTTAAATCATTACGTTTAATGGATTTTTGAAAGCCGTATTCCTTATAAAGTGATTCTATTGAGACATAAATATAAACAATCGTGTAACAATTTAACTATTAAACTGATGCACAACATCATTTTTTTTATCGCAACTTTAAATATTTTATTAACTTAATTGAATATATTAGCGCTCCTTCAATGGAATTAAAAATTTTCTTCTTCCTTCACCATATTTTGTCTTCAAAATGTTTAATTAAAATAAAATTATCAATATTTTTATTTAATCTTTAGTAGAGATGTTTCTTTAATTTAATGTAATTTTAATAGATATGCCAATAAATATAATGATATTAAATTTAAAATAAATTTAAGCTAAAAACATTCATACTGAAAATAAGTATAAATTATATATTTAAAATATAACTATTAAATCGACCGTTTAAATCATAATTGGAATCCATTTTCGATCATTTAAATTATTTATGAAAATCATTATTACTCGTGCAATAATTACATTGATGTTTAAGTAAATGAACAATTAATATGCTTGGAAACTATATGATGCATTTTTTATTATTATTCACAATGAAAACTTTGTTAAGATTTTCTCGTCAGACTTTACGTAAATCATAATATTTGTATTTAAATCAAACTTTACTCAATACTACACAATAACTTGGCATTCGTTTTTAATTAAATTAATTATTAAGTTAATTTAAGTAATAACATAATTATTGATTCATTAAATATAATTTTTATAGTATCAAATGAAATTTAAAAATTATCACCTTGAGATTCAATTCGATTTTTCATATTTTATAGTTTACAATTAATTTTACAATTTTGAATACAATTTTCTTAATAATTTAAAAATTATAAAATTAAACGAATTGATTTTTAATTTTCTGACAAAAATAAAAAGGCACATGCTCAGATTATATAATTACTGCTTTCAATTATTGCCCCATCATATCAGTAGACTTATTATTGTAGTAATTGAAAATTAAATCGATGATAGATTATGCCGATCTTTTTGACATTATTAATGATTTTATTAAAATACTTTGAAAGTATTTAATTATAAAGATTGAGTGCAATGTGTTTTTTTAAATTATAATTTGAGGATTCGTCTTAGCCGTTCGATACCAAATTTGTAGAGTTTGTTTTACGATTCATGATCGCTTCAATTTTTCTAACATTATTGATGGATATCAGAAAAATAAGGTGTTGGTAAAGTCGAATAATTAATTGTAAACACATAAATGACAAAAAGTATCTGAAAGCGAGTCTTATTTAAATTGAGCCACGGAAATATCAAATATACGCATTAGTATTAATAAATATGTCATATTCAACCGACAATTTACTCTATTAAATTGCGAATATCTTGAAGACCTAAAAGTCATAATATACCAGAAGAATAAAACATTGGTACTATTTAGAAAGATGAAGTGAATTCACTGCTATAAAGTAGGAAACTTTTTCGCAGACTAAAAATCTGTCAACGACTGAAAAAATAGTTATAATGAAAGAGAAGAATGACTTGGATTTGAACTGTCAAAACAATTTTCAGTCAAATGAAAATAATATTTATGCAGCGGTGCTCAAATCGCGTGATATCTCGTCTGCCTGATTCGAAAATCATTAACGCTGCTAACTCGAGAGCTGTAATCCATTAATTGCTTCTCATGCACCGTCAAATTTTTTGACAAATTGCACTGTCACCGCACTTTATTATTGTTTTTTTTTTTTTTTTTTTTTTTTTTTTTTTTTTTTTTTTTTTTTTTGGCAGGCAGTAAATAATGCAAGCAATCTAATTCGTGAAAGTAATTGGTATAGTGCGTTACCTGTTCTCTTTCGATCCTGCTTTGATCATGGATAAGCGATTAGGTGTTGCTGTAATTAGATGAAGGTCGCCAAGAAAATTGGTTCAAGGTACGCACGTGCTTATCATTCAATTGACAAGACTCATAGGTCCGTATTATTAATTGAATTTTTATTATTCATCGCTTGGAGTATTGGCAGGATACGGTCAATTATTGCTTTTTGGCAGAACTCAAATTTTGCTCGAGAAAAAGATTTGCCCAAAGTATTAACGCGACAGTTCCGGGGTGCAAGTGAGTGATAGTCGCAAAGTGCAAAACAACGCTGATTTATGAGACGAGTAGGCACGTGAAAACCATAATCCGTGACGATATGCATAAAGCAGGTGTTGGCAGTTTATCAATTTTCTCATTTTAATATTGATATGGTCGGTAAACTTGCTGCCAATAGATCTCGTAAATGTTAATAGTCTGATAAATTATTAACAAATGGTCACTTGGTATTCCGTTACACGAGCGTAGAATAAATTTCAACGTAGAATTTAGCTATCAACGGCTATTAATAAATGAAAGATGCTTTAGCTAGTCATTACGCTTAATAATATTTTAATAAAAATCTAGTAATTCGTAGTATTCTGCATTGTAGTCTAAATTGAATTATTGATAATAGCGTCCAAGCCATTTGCACTAATATTGTGGGCAATGAGCTTCATTGCTCGAGGTGACCGGTCATCCAAGGGGGTTGTTGATCGCTTAATTCTACGTTGTGCTGAATCATAGGCAAACAGGATGGCTGCCCATACATACAGTTTTACCGCGTCCGACCGTTAAAGCCGTGCACAAGTAAGAAGAGAAGCTATTTCTGGTGACGAGGAGGCGAGGCTCAGGCAAGCGCCATGCACTTGGTACAACTAGTAGTCTGGCGCTCGTCGTCGCGTATCGTGATATACAATTTTCAGAGTGGCAGCAGCAGTGCTATTAGCCGCGGTAGAAACAGCAGTAGCAGCAGTAGCACGATGTGTGTCTCCGATAGATGTGGTCCGTTGATATTATCTTTAGACTCGTACCACCCCCTATGATAAGTGTCAGTATATAATTAAATTTTCGTAACTTCTTTAACGAAAAAATAACGAAAGCGACGAGAATGACTGCAAAATTACAACGAATATAAGGAAACGTAAAAAGGAAAAAAAATAGAAAAATCCAATATAATAAAGTGACAGAGAGTTAAAAAAAAAAAAAAAAAAAGAAAAAGAAAAAAGAAAAGTAAATTAGATAAATGATCTTGATACTACTACTCTTTAGATATTTCAATTTTATGTTGATCTCTGACATCAAGTACGTCCTTGCTCAAAAGCTAAAATAAGTAATGTGTCTGAATTCCTTTGAAATTATAACTCTAGATGAAGCTTAATTTTACTAATTGGCCGACGACCAGTAATTGCTCCCTGTTTCTATAGAAAGGGAGAAAAGAAATAACGAATCAACATCCTTTAGCGATATGTCCAAAGTTCAGATGGAAGTACAAAGTGAAGTAAAATTTGAAGATAAAATGTCTAATACGAATGCAAGATTAGCGAGGTAATATGTGCAAAGTTATTGTATAGTTTTGAGAGAGGAATTGAGAGCTGTTGTAGAAGGATGTCCTTTTGTAGGATAACGGGGAGGAGCCGGGGCCTCCCCAAACCAAATTACTTTCCATTACTGCCACCCATTAGTCCTGCTGATGCTAAGCGCTTTTGTCGAATTACTGGTAAATCCTACGGACTACCAACTCATCATTACATTCCTGTCGTACTTGGATTTCACAGTCAAAGTAAAGGCAAGAAAAACAAAAAATGTAAAATTACAACAAAGTCATCTGGCTTGGCGCCGCATCATTATACAGCTGGAATTCTACTAGGAGAGAAAAAAAAACACATTATATTGAAAGATTACAGATACGTTTTTCCAATCCTAGACGGCGATGACGAGCAGCATATAGTTTTAAGAAACTTACTTAAATCAAAAGAGCCTGTAGAGGAGGAGACGCATTCGAAATTTGTTTATACAGTAGCAGAGCGTAGATGCAGCCTTGTGTTCCCAGCTCAGCTGGAAGCAGCGGTAAGAGATGGCGATGTGAGAGATGTTATGCTCTCGAGAGACTGTGATACTGTACTCTTGCGCCTCAAGCAAGGTAAAAACGTTTCGGTTGATTTCCGAGATTTGGAAAGATTTGATGAGCTTTATGATGGATTCGGCCCTCGTGAGGATATCTTTAAAGAGCGACAAAGAGTCGAGGCCGAGTCTAAGAATAAAACAAAAAAAAAGCGAGATGGCCTTAGCTACGCTAAAAAAATTTTTGAAGACAAGGAAAAAGCAGCGGAAGAGGAGGAACTTAAGATAACAAAACATGTTAAATTAAGGAGTATTCACGAGGAAGATAAAGAAAATAGACTTTTAAATTGGAAACAAGTTGGCATTAAACAAGACAAATCAAATCGACAAATTCTTTCGAGTTCTTGTGAATGGACAGATATTAGACAGCCTTTAAACAATATAATTGACTGGAAAGTTTTGAAAAATAATGATAAGAATTCAGTTATTGAATGTACTTCTTTAATAAAAGAATTGCCTACTCCAGTGACAATTGATCCTCAAAGAATCGATTTAGAACAAACGATGCTTGGCTCTTACAATACACCCGTGTCTGAAGAAACGGGTGGGTTTGAGACTATTGCAGTAGTTGAGCCATTTTCGCCTTTAACTACACAGCTAGAATACGATGTCCAAGAGGGCATTAAGAATATTTCGTCCAATGATCTTGAAGAAACAGCCGATGTATATAATAAATTCGTAGCTGCTGGTGCAGAGGCATTGCAAATTTTACCAAGAATTGACGAAATTCCAAAATTAGTGGGGCGCATAAATACTGGCGATAATGTACAAATGCATAACGTGAAAGGTTTAAAAATTGATATAGAATCAACTCAGAGATTTGTCGCGGGACAAACAATACATACGCCCGATGGTGATATTTTTGTGCCAGGGCAAACATTACAAACGGGAAAAGGAAATAGTTTCGTGCCTGGTTTTACAGTTCATACGCCAGAGGGACCAGTGCTTATTCCAGGACAAATAATTTCTATTGAAGAAGAAAGTGGTAAGTTGACACCAGTTTTTGTAGCCGGACAAACATTATGTAGAGGCGAAAGAGATGATTTTGTGCAAGGGCAAACAATTCATACGAATGAAGGTTCGAAGTTTATTCCTGGACAGACTGTTTTAACGAAAGATGGTCCGAAATTTGTAGCTGGACAAGTAGTAGAGAATACATTTATACCAGGGCAGATTATAACAACTGATGAAGGTGCGCAATTTATGCCTGGACAAACTATGACCGATGAATTAGGCCAACAGATTTTTATCCCTGGACAGAGTTATCAAGTAAATAAAAATTGGGAATTTATGCCTGGACAAAGATTAAGAATGGATAATGGCATCGAAAAGTTTATTCCTGGTCAAACGGTATTGATGAAAAATGGACTTCAATTTTTACCTGGTCAAAGCGTAATGACAGAAACAAAAGAACTACAGTTTATTCCTGGAATCGCGATAGAATTAGAAAATAATACTAAATTTATTGCTGGAATGACATTAAATACCCCACAGGGTACAAAATTTGTTGAAGGGCAAATTATACAGACTGCAGTTGGAAAGAACTTTATACCTGGCAACACAATCATCGATGAGAATGGATTTAAATTTACTAATGCTAAAAGTATCGATGAAGTCAACTTTTTTGATCCCATACCAGCCGGAATACCAATCGATCCAAAAACAGCGAGTGCTATGTTATCTGAACAAACTGAAATATTTGGACACATTATTCAAACAGAAACAGGTTTTGAATTTATACCAGAAACTGTAAAAAGATTTTCTCAAGGAAAGAAAATAATACCAGGACAATTAGTACGAGGAAAAGACGGTCATCGTTTTGTTCCTGGTATCATGACCGACGATGGTTTTATACCAGGGCAAATAGTAAATACAGACACAGGAGAGCAATTTATACCTGGGCAAGTTATTGATACAAGTAGTGGACCAAAATTTGTTCCAGGTCAAATGGTAGAAACTAGATCTGGATTAAAATTTGTTCCTGGTCAAACGGTCGATACTGAAAATGGGCCACAATTTGTTCCTGGACAAATTGTGGAAACTAAAGTTGGACCAACTTTTATTCCAGGACAAATAATATCGACTGAGGATGAAGGCTCACGATTTGTACCAGGTCAAGTAGTTAATACATCAGATGGACCACGTTTTGTTCCTGGAAGGGTTGTAGAATCAACTGAACATGGCATCATATTTGTACCGGGCCAAATTGTACAAACTGAAGAAGGTCCGAGATTTGTGGCGCCAGATTTAACAGATACGCCAGAAGGTGAACAAGAATTTTCAGTTCAAGGTTTTGAAGTAACTCCGGAGGAACTTAAATTATTGAGGCCACAACATTTACAATATAATGCATCAACCACGCGATATACCGATGTGAACATTGATGCCAATATGCTGAGACAATTATCAGATGCAGGCTTGTCTATTGGAAAAAACATTTCGGCAGAAATACCGAATGTCGATGTAGACATGGATTCTAAATCAGTTGAATTGGATCATGCAATTATTATCGCTGAGAAATTTGGCTTTCAAGGTAGTGCAGCCATAAAAATGGCACAAATAGTTTCAATAATAGCGACCTTGGCGGACAAAGTGGTACACAAAAATTTTCAAGATATACTAAAAAAAGGATATCAATATCAGAATGGCCATAGTTCTTTAATAAATGGTAATTTAGTGACAATGACAAAATTAAATTCGTATAGAAAAGAATTTAATTTTGTAGATGATTGGGCACAAGAAGCCCTTAAATCTACATTGACTATAGCTGTAATGGTGCTTATGGATAAACAAATTATCAATAATAATAATAATATCGACGACGACGACGACGGCGACGACGACGAGGACAGAATAAATAATAATAAATGCCATATTAATGAAGATAATAAACGAAATATTGTTTTCTCAGCGATTAGTGAATCATTGAAAGACTTTCTCGGGCATGAAACTATATCTGTTGATGAATTGGTCGATGAATTTTTACAAATATTACTAGTATCGGAGAAGAGAAATTCTATTTGCAAGTCAGCAGTTTTAGATATTCTGGACACAAGTGACAATAAAATTGACATACTAAAGTCAACACTTGTAACGAATTCGTTAAAGGATGAAATTGTTCTCGATCGACTTTCTCAAGTATTAGAAGAAGAAAATGGAAATGACATCGTAGGTTCTGCATTTAGAAGTATGTCGCAAAATGATTCCAAATTAATTTCACGAGTTTTACAGAAAGTCTCTCAACAGGTAACTTGTATGAAAACAGAGAAAGAAGCAGCCGCAGTCGTGCATAAAGCTATTATCGAAGCTGTAGAAGAGTTTAGTGAAATACGTTTAGAGGAATTATTAAATGATAAAAGTTCTGCTGTTCGAGAATTATTGCTTCAAGCCGTTGGCTTAGCTAGAGCCCTCGGAATGTTTTCTACCGCAAGTAGCTTATTATCCATAATTAATGATGAAAAATCAACTAGAGCTTTGGCTGACGATAAACTTACATTAGATATATTAAAGAGACTGACAATTATGAGAAAGCTAGCTGAAGAAAGGCCTCAATTGGTAAATGTCTTAAGAGAATTGAGTGTGAATTCAGAAAGAGCGAAAAGTAATCCATGTTTACGAACCTTAGTTAGAGAAAGTGCAGCGCTGATGGTAGTTCCGGAAGAAGTTACTTTAGAAACCTCCGATGATATACCAAACTCTTTACTTTACGCAGACAATAATTTGGCAATGGAAGACTTTATAATGAGAAGAAGTCGTAAATCGTCAGCTACATTTATGATTTTAAAACAAGGCTTGCAAGCCGTCGTACCACGAGAAGCCGCAAGATCAGTTTTGACTGGTCAAACTGCATATACTGTTTTAGATGAGCACGGAATCCAACACTTCGAGCCTCTTCACGTATTTTCGGCTTTACGATTAAGTAAACCAGCAGCCCATCGATTTTCAATGTATTGCTGTCCGGTTGCTGATATTTTAGAAGAAAATACTTATACAGAAAATGATTTTACGTCAACATATAATGAGTTCAATGTAACACGGTCTAGTAGTATAGAGACTTCCATTATTAGCGAGAGATGCAGAAAGTACGAATGTAATGGAATTGATTTTTCAAAGTCTGAGCAATCTTTCGAATGTCGATCTGTTAGTAGAGAAAATACGCCAAGTTTTCGTAGAATCAGTAGCTTATATCAAGACAATAATAACGGGGTAAGAATATCATTATATTTTCTAATTCATAAATTAATTGTTCAATTTTCATGATATATAATTAAGGACAAAATTAATGTTCACATTGTTTTTCTTCTAGTAATTTGGTTTTTACAATGCTAAAAGTATATATATATATATATATAAACATTAATTTAATTAAACTATTACCTATTGTTTTATGACAACTAGAATAAAATTAGATTCAACTTAAAAAATAATAATAATTCGTTAAAATGTTTCGTTACAATGAAACATAAAGCGTCATGTTTTTTTTTTTATATAGGAATTATAAAAATTTAATAGATATTGAATATTTATTACGTACTAAAAGATTGATTTTAGATAGGTATTATATTTATAAAATTTATTCAATTATTAATAAAAGAAATTTTATCATGGAATAATTTATATGAATTCGTACGTTAGGAAATAAAATTATAAAATTCTCAAGTTGTTGTTGAATAATTCCAGTATTTAAAAAAGCTTATGCAATAACAAGTTGTTAATACATTGAAATATTAGTTATTGGAAGTGATAAAAATTCATTGAACTTTGTTCGATTAACAATTTAAAGAAAATATTCATAATAATTTATAACATTTTCATGTAAGAACAAGAAGTACCTAATAATGTTAAGTAAATATTTGAAAATATTAATCATATGTATTATATTAATTAATATTAATATTCTACATATATACCTACTACATTTAAAATATTTATTTTTAATTTTATGAAATCATAATGTATATTTAGTACTTAAATGTAATTTTGATTATTTAGTGGCGAAGAAAATCTTTTCAGTTTATGTGTTTAACATAATTTTTAAATAAATCTTGTATAGGTTCTCAACAATTTCTCAAACTTATAACTATGATTTTTGTCAGAATTTATACATTATGCTTTAGTAAATTTAAATAACTGTAGGATTAATTGATATTTTTTAAGTGAAAATATTATAAACTTAAGTAAATAACTAAATTTATAAGAAAATAAATTTAATTTCTCGTGACGTTATATTATAATATATATATTTTTTTTTATTTATTTAAGATTTTTCATTAAATGCAATTTTATTCATTTTAGTGATAAAAATGATCATTACTCTAAGAATAATTGCGTATTTTGACGAGTTTCAAGAAATTTCAGTTTTATTATTTTCTAATTAATGAGCATAGTCTTTAAATTTATTTCCAATGATATTACAATTTTCAACGAAATCTATGATACTATTAGCAGAAAATAATTACGAAAATAAACAGTACTTTTGTAAGCACTAAAACTCTCATTCATCACAAGAATACATTTAATTATAAATATATTTAACATTTTTGTATTTTTCAATTAATTGATAATTGAAATATAATATTAGGCATATTTATAATTCCAAAGTAAATACATTGTTACTTTTGCAAGTAAGGCTTTTAATTGATAGAAATTACTATTAAAACTACTATTACACACGTTAGTAAAGATTTTTTTTTTTTTTTTTTTTTTTTTTTTTTTTTTTTTTTGAATAAAGTAAATTTTAATTATTTAGTAATTATTTGTTAATTAATTAATAATTTTTAATTTGTATTTGTTAATTTACTATATCATTAGTTAATGATAAACGAGAGAATACACTCTTTGTTTTATTATATAATTTAATTATTATACATATGACTTGGATATTTAGAATTAAGTAAAACGAGTTACTAGTATTGAAACTCATTTTATTTATTTGTAATTTGAAGATAATTATTTTATTTTTATATTACATATTCGAATAAAGTTTCAAGTTTAATTTCTGATGTGAAGAAGAGGAATTCACGGAAATGAGAACTCCTTGTTTAATAATTATTTACTAAGTTTTAAAATTTTTAACTTTATCATTGAAAACTTGTGTTTTTACGTTTTTGCGATCCTTAGATTAAAAGAACCGTATGTTATGTATATTTATTAATTATTACAATATTTTTCCTATTGCAGAGATTAGAAAATTATGTAGTGGTAAAAGATTTCATATCGGAAGATGCTGGTACGGATTTTTCTGTTAAAGTCGGTGACATCGTCGAAGCGATCGAATATGCAGCTGATAATTCAAAGTAAGTCATTATTTTTCTTTATGAGCTGAAACTAAATGAAAGTCAAACAAATATTCAAGTTCGCTGGCTCGCTTTAGCATTATTCGGCACTCGCAGGTTCCGCGGCTTTGCTATTTTCGTAGCGCGCTTATTTCCAGCTTCTTGAATATATGTATGCAAGAACTGAAAGTAAGCTTATACAATATACCATATAGATCCATTATATATAACATGATCTTTGATAACAGATGTGTGCTGAGCTCAAATAAGCTTTGTTATTTCTTCTGAGAAAGTACGCTTTAGCTTGTGTTTCTAATAAAGAACTGTAATTTTATAGAGAAAATTACGTAAACCCTTTGGTGCGTGTATCATATACCAGCATACAGTTACAGATGACAAAGAACGAAAAATTGTGTATAATTATTATTCCAATGGAGAACATCATTTACATATGTCAAATGCAAAAATGATTTTTTAGAGTTATATTATTTTTTTTTTTTTTTTTAATACATATAAATTTACGATATAATAAATGTTTCCTATTAATTGTTTTATAAAATAGATGTCGAGGCAAACATATAGTATACATGTTATTAATAAAAATATTTCTATCTATCTCGTGAAAATTGTTTTTAAATGAAAATTTCTACATTCTAAAGTAGAGAGTGTGTGTAGATGATTTCAAACAGTAGTACATTAAAAAGTAAAATGAATTTAGCATGGATTATTAAATTTTAAACTAACTCATATTTCAGAATAGTATAAAAATCTTCATTTTATAGACACGAATGCATGCTTTAGCATAGAAATTAATAAATACTTTTATTGTTAATTAATATTGATGTGCTTAAAATCGCTTATACATGTAATTGGGCAAAGTATCGTTGGCTCGTCGAACAATCATTTTTATTGATAAAATAATTTTACAAGTAAAACTCAATATGACTGTCATCAAGAAGTTACAAAATTTTCAAATGAGATGAAAAAGCAATTTAAGGTTATAGCTTATGTTTAGAACTCATAAACCATTGAGTATCTTAACCTGTATGATAAATTTCTCTCGTCGTGCTTATAATTTATTTTTATACGAATGTATTTTTACGTGCAACAATTTTTTTTTTTGTAAACTATCGTCGCTAAAATAAGCGCGTCATATACCCACTCTCTTATGTTCGTGTAAAATTACTGTTAAGTCTTTTAAGTCTTTTGGGAATAAAATGGCCCGATTATCGTGCATGACTCGAATTTTTACGAGCAATTGCAATTAGCCATTAAGAAATGCTTATAAAGGATCAGCCTGTAATCGGCCTGGATTGTCAAGCTTTCACGAACAGTTATTCCCGCCTGGCTTTCCAGTAAATCTATTTTCGACACTCGACGCAGTCATATACCTTCGAACAACGCTCATCTGCAGATTTCGTACGCCTTGCTCTATCGTCATCCAAGCTTCTTTCCAATCGTTGCTTGAAAAAAAAAAAAAAAAAAAAAAAAAAAAAAAAAAAAGAGAGAGAGAGAGAGAGAGAGAGAGAAAAAAAGTACGAAAGACGTGTTTTTTAAAGTTCAATTATTAACATTGGCGCTATAGCTTATAATATTGGCAGAGCATAGATTTTATCATAAAAAATGCGAGACAGACTAGATAAAAAGATTTATTTATAGGGAAACAAAGGTAAATGAGACGTTGTTCGACATAGGAGAGATCGAGGATCGGCTGGACAATACGGCAGCAAGGCACAAGTTATCCGTCCGCCCACGACGAAAATACGCGGATTCTCGGGCTCATCTAATTTCTCAGACTTCCACGAGGTGGGTCGAGACTAATCGAGTGTTTCCATTTTCATGCGAGTACATTTAGTACATAAGGAATAAATTTCTAAATACTTTTATTATAATTTTTTCAAACATGTGCGAATGATTTTTTTTTTTATTTTTGGTTTTTCGCATTTGCGCAAATATTGAAATGATACTAAACTAAGAAACAACGTGTTCAAAAGTCAATGACCGTGTGCTTGCTTTATCTCACTTTGACCTGTTCTCTCATTAGCTAAATTATTTTCAAAGTTTTTAGTCACTCGCATAATTTCTAACTATTTTATACGGCTATAAGGCTATGAATTATAGGAAGATCTGCTTTATTTGATCCCTAAATTACAATTGAACTTAGACGTATTAGACGTGGGTTTAACGGATTTTTTTTTTTTTTTTTTTTTTTTTTTTTTTTTTTTTTGGACCGTATATACTGATAGTCGATTATGAATAAGTTATATTTAAACAGCATTAAAGTATTTCTATTTATGACTAGTCGAGATTCATTCTTATATAGATCTTTTCTTCATCGTTTACTCTTTTTTAATACTGAACAAAGAAAATCTTTCATAATTACAAAATACAATGTAACTAGATTTTCGATTTTTCTTTTTTTTTTTAATTAAATTCTTTTATAATTTTTTTCTGCCCCAAATGTGTTCATAATTATATATGGGACCAATATATATATACGAGAAATTGTATCTTTAATTAGGTAATATTTTAATAGTGGAATTGTGATTTCACTACAAATATTTCAATTTTTAATTTTTTAAATTGTATACTAAAATTTTAAGTAGAATACTGAAAATATAATTTAACGATAATCCTTATTTTAAGTGATACGAGGAAGTTATTGTAGATAAATCACCGAAACTTACGAGTTTGTATTTCAATTTTTTTCTAGTCTGCGTGGGTGAATTTCTCTGAAATCAATGCAGGATTAAAATATAAATTCGTAATTTGTATTTGACTTATAATGATGTTTTCTTTTTATAATAAGAATAAGCATTTTCACGATTTTTATTTTAATGTAGTCACAAAGGCGACAAAATAAAATGTTATTAATAAAAATTTTTATAATGATTTTAAATAAAAGAAATTTATGTTTTTAATATTATTTAAAATGAACTAACAATAACAATGAAAGTATATGAATATATTAAAATATTTTTCGGCATGGAGATTTACAGAATATTAGACCAGCATATATTTAATGTGCATTTTATGAAAGTAATATTTATGCATTATATTACTATATTATTTAGATTAATTTCTGTAAATGATATCGAGTGTTCAAATACTTAATTATCATAATGAAAATTTTTAATCTTATTTTTTCAAATATATATAAAAATTCCAAAAAATTTTTTTTTTTTAATATTAATAATCATAATATGTGTTTATTCATTTTAATTTCTACATGTTAAGTATTTTATTTAAATTAGAAACGATAGAAATATTTTGATTCTACATACAATTATATTTCATATATAAATTTGATATTTGTATTTTAAATAATATGTACTTATTCCATATTATAAATATTGTACAGAATGTATTAATATAAAATAATAATATTAGATTAATTTTTGGTTATTATATAACATGTATATATATTCTAAAAACACTATAATAATTGTTTATCTAATTTTGAATTCTAAAATTGAAAATCAGAAAATAGCTAAAATTATTTCAATTTCACCTAATATATATTTCACCTAATGATTGTCTTTTATACGCCAAAATCGTTTAAAAAATAAATTAGAATTATACATTTGCAAAAATTGGGCAGGTACAAGTGGATAGTTATTTTATAATCAGCTTGTTTGTGAAATTCGTTAGGTTAGGATTATTCATTTGCAAAGTAATTAATAAATAAACTATCTTATAATCAAATTATATGCTTTTACAGTATCGCATAAAGCGATGAAATAATTTAGGTAATTCTATGCAGTTTTTAATTATTAATTTATTATAAATAATTAATATATTTTTTCATATTCACAAATAATTATTATGCGTATTATGTTAAATAATGGTGGATATAATTAGTATAAAAATAGTAAATATTTTAAGAAAACACTGTGCTATTAATATATTCTACCAGAGAGTAATGAGAGTAATGTAACTGAGCATTAGCTTAATACATACGGAAAAATAGATGATTGGTAAACATTTTACGAAATTTTCGCCAATGTTTAATGTTGCTTTGGAAAAAAGTATTTTACCATTAATTAGTAATTTTTAAAAATTTATGCTGACAGTAATTAAGATAAAAGTATTAAACTTGTCTAAGATAATAATACCTACCGTATTTTCGGCTGTTAGCCAGGATTCTTCATATGTATTAATTCATACAAAAACATTATATTTAAAATGTATACGAGGAACACATCCCTTATAAGTCGGTCACTGGGTATTTATTACAAAGTGTGCAGCATAAATAAATAAAGTTAGATTTAAATACACTTTACATTATTATAATCGAATTACAAATGATTTAAAGTACGAAATTTGAAGGTTTGTGCAATAAATCGTTGATCATATCTAGTTGCATTGGAGAGTTTTTTTGGTAAATACTTTTTGTAGATCATTTTCTTATTTGTACTTTTCATTATTTTTATATAATATTGCACCGTTTATATAATCATATAGATTACAAATATTTATTTCCGAATAATGTGTTATTTACATTTGATGTTGAATGATTTATATTCATTATAGTATATTAACGGTGCTTGCATAATGATCGTATTTAGATTTTTTTCTTGGTTGTATATCAAATTTAAAATACTCTTTAATGCCTTAAATTTCATTTATAATTAATTTAATTTGAATAATAATAAAAAAACATATAAACTAACATTTATATTATTTATATATAATAACATTTATATATAACATACTAAATAGAAATATACAATAATAATAAAAAATAATAAAATGAAATCATTAAAATATAATGCTTCTATTGAATATTGTATATATATATATATATATATATATATATATAACGTATAATATTAGGAATAAAAATCATTTAACTTTTTATAGTTTTTATAAATAAATTAATTTTTTTCAAAGAATTATTATATATTATTGAAACAAATAATGGGTTAAAAATTATTGAATCTTTTGTTTTAATAATATAAACGTATTAATGATTTTATTTAGATTTAAGGTTTTAATGTATAATGTACAAAATTACATTTTGTAAGCTTCAACATCTTGGTATTAACCCTTTTTATATTTATAGGAAGTACATCGTACAATATTAATGATTATTAAATTTTGAAAATTTCTATGTAATATTAATACTATTAATATTTGATTAATACTTTATTCTATGAGTTTTCTAATTCATTTATTGAAATTATACAATCGAATTTATACCGTAAGTAATTAAGAAATCACAAAATCTATTTTTTGATTTTGTGAAATGGAATTATGGAGATTATGTACGTTATCAAGATTATAAATCAAACAAAGTTGAAGCGTGGAAATGCGTAGAAAAAAATTTGTAGAAAAATGTCATTTAATGATTCATATTAATCAATTTCATTGATATAATCATTGATTAATTAGTACAATTTATTATAAAATTTAATTTCTAATATCAATTTCTATTTAAAAATATCTCTATTATTTTATTATAAATTTATAAGAGCATATAACTGAATATAATTTATGTGATTTGTATGTACGCGCACGATGCGCATACACACACACAGACGCGCGCGCGCGCGCGCGAGCGCATTATATATATATATATATATATATTATTTATAAAATACCTATATTCTAGTACTTAATTTTTTTTTCTTTAATTTTAGAGTATTAGTCCGTAGAGCTGATGGTAAAGAAGGCTGGTTGCCGATGTCAATTTTAATGCAGACCGCTTTAAGTGAAGATAGTTTAACTTTCGCTAGTCAACGTCGACCTGAAGATTCTCAGTTTAGGAGAGAGTAAGTTCTCTTTATTTTATAATTTTACTTTTGAACATATTTCAACATACTTTTGAATTGTAGAGCTGTTATTAAAGAGTTAGTCGAGACTGAAGAAGAATTTGGACGAGATTTACAAATGGTCGTAGAACGATACTTAAAACCACTTGATAACTCTGATGTTCCAAGAGTAGTACGAGATAATAAGGAAATTATTTTTTCAAATTTAAAGCAGATTGCAGATTTTCATAATACGTAAGTAACTAATACGAACGTACACCCATACAAATTAAATTTAACACAAACATGGGCATTTTCAGTCAGTTGTACTTATAATGAATAAAATGTTAAATCATTAATCTTCCATCTAATATCTTTTTATTTATAATAAAACTTTAAGAAATTATTAGAACATTTTTATTAATTTATGTATAAATAAATATCTATTTTTAGAAATGTAATATACGTAATTCTGTTAAAAGTAATAATTTTAGCAATTTAATAAAATATATACTTTTTAATACATAACATATATTACAATAATTATATTGAATTTCAGTTTAATTATAATTCTGATAAAAAAAAAATTTTCTTTAAGCTTTTATAAATAGAATTGATGTAATGAGAATGAATAAATAGCCTAAATATTCATATATTGAATGTTATATTTTAGAAACAATTTTCTATACATATGTATACATTTCATCGAATATGGTTTTATTATGCTTTATGATTTTATTGAAAATTATAAGTTTCGATAAAATATTTGAATAATTGGCAATAAATAATAAATAATAAATACAAACTCATAATTTCAATAATTATATTAGGTATTTGCACATAAATTTAAATAAAAATACCTAATTTTATATTAAAGAATCAATAGCAATGATAGTTTATTTCTTTTAATTTTGAGAATATAATATAATATTAATTACATTTAATATGTCAAATTGTCTAAATAATCTTACATTTTTGTAATGGTTGTGGCATTACACATGTTCTGTAACATTTCATTGTTATCGCGGAAGTTGTAGAAATTTTAACTGCATTTGTAAATCCAAAATATCTTTATAAAGTATAGTTATTATAAATTTAATTAAAATTTTTACTAATTATTATATTTATTAAAAATATTCTCAATAAGTTTATGTTTAATAACGTACGGCATTTGATTTTATAGAAAGCGGATCGATGAACTTTTATTGTATTTAATTTTTCATGAAACTTTATGTAACTCATTTTATTAATAAAAAGGTAAATTTTATTAATAATAAGGTATTTAAAAATTTTTGATTCCTTATTGTATAAAAAAAATTGTAAAATAGAAAAAATTCAATTTTTTTCAATAGGTTAAAATAAACAAAAATCTTATCCAATTCTTATTACTATACTTATAAACCAAAGTTTTTGTATTCTAATAAACTAATAGATTTTTTATATTGGTATAGTATTTAAACTTTTAAAAAAATAAAAATATATAAATTAAATATACTTATACATTGTAAATATTTTATTAAATTCTATATACAAACTTACATATAAAAAGAAGTTCAAATAGCTTAAATACTAAAACTATACACTTCCACGTAATTAAAATTTTAAAACTTATTTAGAAATGAGAAAAATATATTTTCTTATTTTTCAAGTAAGTTTTAAATATTAAATATTTTTTAAATTAATATTTTTTATACGTGTAAGCGTTAATTTATATAATTTTATGGCTTATAAATTTTTATTAAAGAATTTTAAAAGAATCAAACTGAAATTAAATGTATATTTTTAAATGAAACTATAGGTTTATTCTAATAGGTTAAATTCGAATTAATCTAAAATTTATATAAATAAAGTTAAACAAGTATAATTATAAATTGTAATAGAGGAAGATTAAGGATGAACGTTGAATTTAAGAAATAAAAATAAAATGCATTTAAGATTTGGGAACTCTGACACAAAATAAACTCAAAACACATGTTAACAAATGATAAACGAAATCTTTAAATTATTGTGGTTTCTAAAAACATTTATAAATATTTACGCATACGCAAATATACATACACACGAATACACTTTGGTGAAAACAACTTTTTCATAGATTCAATCTATGAGTTTCGTAAGTCAAGATTTATGAATTTTTGTGATTGTACTGATTGTACTTATTTGCATATTAATGATTTGGAGTAAAATTTATATATTAACTACTTTGTCCCTTTTCCAAAAAACATTTCATAAACTTATTATACATCGTTTGTATTATTTATTGCACATTTAAATTAATTATTAAATAATGCTAATAATTTTTTGCGATTTGTTTCTAATATCAGACATTTTTAAATGACATTTTTGACTTTTAATAATCTCATAATCATCTCGTGTGTTTGCGTTTGAAAATAAAAACTAGAAAATGACTAGGTTGAATGTCAATAATCCTAATTTTATTTTTATATTTTGACCGGCATTATATAATATATGCCGGATGTTTTGTGTCGAGTTGTCAAGAAATGCAATAAAAAAGGTTTTAGCACGTAAGTGTGAAGTAACCTTGGCATGACATTAATTCCGGCCTTACTTAGATCGTTCGGCAGGGTCTTAATCGAAGGTGTCAAATACTATGCGGATCAGCCACGTATGCTTGGCAAGACTTTTCTCAGATTGGTAAGTCAATATCAAAATAATGTTTACAAATATTATATATTTTATAGATAATGCCAGACGCCTGAATATTAATATAATGATTTTTTTGCTAGTTTATTTGAGTAATTTGAGTATACTTGGACAAAGATTAATTGTTAATACGATTTATTCAACAATGAGTTTATTTTAATAATAAGTTTTATTAATTCTTACATGAATATTTTATTGAGATTAGGTTGTTAAGTGTCAATTTGATTATTATTATTATTATTATTATTATTATTATTATTATTATTATTATTAATTTTAATTAAAAAATTCAATACAAAATATATTGCGTATAAACGCGCAACTAAGACAAAAATGATCTAATTAATGATATTTTATGTTTTCTTTTAGGAAAGAGATTTTGATAAGCATGTAGCTTATTGCAGAGATGAACCTGCTGCTCAAGAATTACTTTTAATCAATGACGAAGTTCGAGAATATTTTGAGGTAAGGATTTAATGCAATACTATTTTACATACATCTTTTCTTTATATTTACTTTGATATAATTTATTGCCAATTAATTTGAAAGTATCTGGAATTGTTTTTAGAAATTGCTGAAATGGTTTAGATGAGTCCTCATTAGAATATTTGTCATCGTTCTTTGTTGTAAAATTCATATATATCAATATTCCCTTATTCTCATTGTTTGAGCGTTTACTACTTATTTGATCGCCTTGATCTGTTAAACTATCATTTGTTATCTCAGAGGAAGATGAATTGATTGCGGAGTTCTCTGACGTCGGTGTCTCTAACGTCCTATTCGATTGATCAACATCTACTATTGATTTATTATCATGTTTCATTTTGAGAAATTTAGTTATATTATTTTGATATAGGTTTAATTTATCATTTATGCCATCCATAACTTGTTTTTTAAATATATCATATGTTGTATATAAATAATCTTCTAGGGCATTCACTTTATGATGAGTATTATTATTGATACATTCTCGCATCAGTTGTTGTTCTTCTTGAACTAAAAAAATCATATCTGATACCTTATCCAGACCACATTTTTTAAAGCCTTCTTGTAATATAGTTGTAAGCTCGGAAATTATATTTTCATTAGAAAGAAATTTGTTTGTAATATATCTTCTTGATCGATTATGATTTTCATTTGTAAAATAATTATCTATACTTTTTATTATACTGCTATTCTGCCTCATAAGTAATAAGCCTTGCAACAATGTTTGATTTTCGTTACGTTCAGTCAAATTTTCCTTATTTAGATAGATAGTTGCATTCTATAATAAGTCAACTTCTTTAAATTAAAATAATGATTAATAATTAAAATATTCTATTATCATGTTTGATATTTATTCTTACCAATAGTGGAATACTGCTCACAAAAACGAGAATCAAGAAAATCTTCATTGCTGATATACTGACTGCGATTTGCCAGTGAAACAGCAGTTTTATTATTTAACTACAATCGAACATACGGTCGTAAAATTTGTACTTACGTTCCAATGATTGTACCGAGGATATTGTTTAATCAAGCATTATTCACTACTTTAATTTTTAAAACACAAATTACTTAAACAAATTTATATAAGCTTTTTATAGCAATACTAAAATTAAGATTAAAATTTTTTTTACATGTGCATATATAATATACGTATATATGTATGATAATAATATATAATAATGATACAACAATAATTAGAATATATGATATTTCGTTATATGGTTTTTAATACTTAATAATAGTAATAATTTAAAAATAAAATGAATAGAATATTGGAAAGATTAATGATAATTTTAATTAAATTTAAGATTAAATAACGCTATTTAATCATTTGTTGGTAAAAACAAAAGTTAACGCATCCTGATAAAGTAGATTTCTTACTACATTGAAATGTTTTTTAATGAAATACTTAAATAAATATTGAAATAGCATATTAATATTATTTTAATATTTATCTCACTATTTACATGATCAAAAATATGTTAAATATCTTTATTAAAAGAAAAATTATAGCTTGCATTTTCTTTACTAAAAATTAAAAATTATATTCTTATGTTATTTACTAATATACGTATTCTAAATTTGTATTTTTTTCTTTTTTTAACCAATAATTAATTAATTATATTGATTAGTTATAATTATTATTACTTACATTTTATAATCATATATTAATAATTATAGTAGGGACTAGTACATTCCTATTCTATGTTTATTAAAGCTATTATAATTACAATCAAGAAAAACATTTTCTTTGAACTGCCATTATCAATAAAATAATATTTAAATGAAAGTTATTAGAAAGAAATTTGGAAAAATTGCACTAAATAAAAAAGAATAAAAAAAAAATAAATCATTTTAAACAAAAAGTCTTTCGTTTCATAAAACAACAATTAACTTTATACTTATATACTTATATACTTATAATAAATTAACCCGATCAATCTTCTCCGATACATAACTAATATTTATAATGATTAAATGAAAGTTGGTTAATCAATGCTTCATATTAAATAGATTGCTTTTAATTTAGAGAGACGGACAAAAAAAAAAAAAAAAATTAATTCACTTTCATTAAGAAAAAAAGCTTAATTTACCGTATGTTTATTTTCAGTGCTGTCAATAGTTTGCAAAATTCCAAATATACGAATATTTATTATAAAATTATTATTATTATAAAAATACTAATATTAAAGTATATGATATATAATATATGTCAATATATCGTCTAATATGTTTATATAATGTTAGAAAATTCATATTTTTAACGGTACATTAAGTGTTACATTATTAAATTAATAATTATTATATTCAGATTTTAATGGAAAAATTAGCTTAATCTAGCTATTACTAATGTCTATTTAAAGAGATAATGACAAAAAAAAAATAAAATTCTTGTTCGCTAACGTGGCGACAAAGTTATCATGGAAAAGAGAGGAAATGTAACATTGCATAAGAGCCGGGACATATATATATGAGCGGCTGCCTAAGCACCAAAATAGCTTCGTTTATTTTAACATGAGAACATTTTGTGACTTTTTCTACACATAACTTTGCTATCGTTTCGCGATTAAATTTAAATATGCGAATAAAACTGGTAAATAATATTTTTATTGTAAATAATATTGTCTTTTTGATTTTTTATTTCGGTATTAATTTACTTAGTATATATATATATATATATATATATATATATATATTGCTGAAGGATACAAACAGTTACAAATTATGTTTTTTCTTAACTTTAAATATAAAACACGAGCTTAAGATATTCAATATTTTATACGAGTAAATATTAAGTTATAGTTACCTATAAAAATAAATCGGATTATGTTTCTCAAATGTTCTAAAGAGATCATAATTTATTATTTTTCAGAAAATCTTGCAATAAGAACCTGTTGAAGATAAAATTTTTGACAAAATCATATTAGATAAATTAACTATAATTTAATTATTTAGAAAAAGTCAATGCAAATTTTATTATTCATAATTCAAATTTCTTAGGATAAAATCGATTAAATAATTAATTTAATAAATTTATAATTAAACACAATATATTAAAAGTTTTTTAATTTTATGATTATTTTTTGCACATATGTCATTGCACACATGTACGCATCATATGTCATAATTAAACTTCAACGGTTTTTTCTATTCGTCAAATATAAATTAAATCTACTTATTAAAGAATATTGTATACATCTTTTACGCAAGACATAATATTGTATGTTTATTTCTAATTATTATTATGTTTAAACAATAATTTTTATACGTTTAAAAAATAAATTCGGTAAATTTAAATAAAAAATTACTCTTTGATCAAATATTTAATATTTTTAAGAAGTATATTTAATTTAAATTTAAATAATGAATTGTGTTTTTCAATTGTAATTTACATTAATACATATATTCATAATATTATAGTATATTGTAAAGTTTATTATTACTATCCTTAAAAATTAATGAAATTGATATGTTTGATCTTAATTAAAATATAAAAAGCCCTTATGTATAATATTTTATAATTTAATAATTTGTTTATTAATGAATTATAATTGACATCTTATATGTTTTAAAAACTGAAATTTGCATATTTTTTTGAAAATTTATTGTATATATATAAATATTTATTTATAAAAATTATTTATTTTAATTTAAATAATTTATAAATTATTATTTAAGATTACTAGTTTATAATGTAATGGATGTACAATGAACTTACAGTTTAAAAAATGGTTAAATTTCTTGTTTATTTTAATGCTCATATCATGTTATTTTAATGATTTCTTACAATTTTTTTGGAATCTAATTCATTTATAATTTTGTGAAAGCAATATTTATTTTCAATTTAGATGGTATTTGAACTGTTTATCGTATTTCCTGTAGTAATATTAATATGCAATCAGAAAATTTTAAATGCACGTTTAATCCGAATCAAGTCACATCGTAATAAGTATGAATCTATAAGAAGATTATCTATAAAAGTAATAGTTGGGGGTGGTGATATCGGAAGCACAAATCTTCTCTTGCATTTGCCTGTTCAATATCACATGCCACGACTTTTTGGACCATCACGCCTCAGTAATTAGTTTTCGTCTACCTCGCGGTCATCATGTCTTTAGCCAAGATTATCTCTAGCCAAATTTCCTTCCTACCTCTTATTTCACTCTCTCTCTCTCTCTCTCTCTCTCTCTCTTTCTAATTTGCCACTTATCTATTTAACTATTTATTTATGCATCTGTGTATCTGTTTACCTATCTATCTATCTATCTATCTATTTATATATATATATATATATATATATATATATATATATATATATTTATTTATTTATTTATCTATCTATTTATCTGTCTATTTATGTGTATATAAATTTATTTGTATAGCCACTATATATCATCTGCTTCATAAATTTCTTAATGTTTTCCAGCGCAATTCAATTTCTTATTTTGTTTTTTAAAGTACTGTCAATTAACTATTTGATATTTATTTTTATTTTTCTTATATTTGATAACTCCTGACGATGAATGGAGGAGAAAAACCTAAATGTTTATGTGCAACGGCAGGTCTCGTCGAAATGTGCCCCTCTTTTCTTTTCACTTCAGGAACCGTAAAGTTGCATGAGAGTAGGGATTTTGCTAACCACCGCCTATATTCGAATGTCGAAATGAGAATGAAGGTGGTCCAGTCTGCGAGAGGCGACGCTGCCACCGCTTTGCCCGCACTTTTTAAAAGTAGGGTTGTTTTAGTTTTAGTTCCACTGAGGAGAGTCTTAAGTTGCTTTGATTGCACGCAGGTGTGTTTCACTACCGGTTGCACTTGACATCCTTGCTACCGGTTGAACACCATTACTATAAACCTTCTCGTGTCGGTGCTTTTGTGTATTGGCGTATTGATTCCACAATTGCAATAACCGAACATTTTCTTTTACACATATTTTTGCTCATTTTGTCGAGATAATATCAGAATTTTCGCATGTTGTACTGTAAATTTTTATTGCAAAAGTCAGATAGCTAAAAATATCAAGTTCATGACGTACCATTTCTACCTATTATAAATAGATTTTCATATTCTGTATATTTTGAAACTATGCCAGATATAAAAAGCAACTCCATGACTTGGATTATAATATTTGAGAAAAATTTTATTTTCACGCTGTTATTCGATGAATTGAGAAAAAGTGAGAAGAAACAAGAAACATTAAGCTTTTAAAATCATTCTTTATTTCTAAAGGAGCTGAGCCATAAACTTGGGGATGATAAGAGCATATCAGAACATCTGAAATTGCCGATACAGCGTATCAATGATTACCAGCTTTTATTGAAGGTAATTAAATAGCTTATTATTTATATTATTATACAGATGTTTCTGTTGTTTAATAAAATTACCTTTAAAGCTCTAATACTTTGTAAATAAGTATAATTTATTTGGAATTTGTCCAATCTTATGATTGTCGAAAGAGACTAGATCGTATTACAAGACCGTGGAACTGTATTGCTATATATTATTAAATTTTATTTAATAAAACAGTTTTTTTTTTATATAATTTAAATTATGAATTACAGCAATTTTGTGTTATACATTATATGAATATATTTTTAAACAATATTAATATGATTTGTTTGTTTACATTTAAATAGACAAGTCATTTTTGCAAATAGTTTAATAAGAAATTAAATATATTTTTATGTTAACAGCGCTTATATATAAATCTACAATCAATAATATCATTACAAATTATAATTTTTTGAAGAACAAGTTTAAATCATTTTTATTTTCAAAAATTTATCACAAAAATATTAAATTACGGTATTAGTATATTTTTAAATTTTATTTTTCACTCAATTTTTATTTGTTATTGAGAACAAAATTCGGGCTTGGTGCCTAATGAATGCAATAAATGTATTTCTAAACAAAAAGTAAAATTGCTTGCACGCGTGCACACATAATAAAATATGATTTTAAAAAACAGATGAAAAATATTTTTTGATTTATAATATTTTAGTAACATTTCTAAATAATATACGATTATGTATATATATATATATATATATATATATATATAATCATAATTATCATAATATTCAATTATTTCAATATTTAATTTTCAATTTTTTACTCTTGATTCAATAAAATATATTTTATTTTTCATAATTTGATGTTTTTAATTGATATATTATTTGTAAAATTATTGATGTTTTTTATAAATAGAAAATCAAATAAGCGCCACATAAATTATAGTTAGCTAAAATTGACTTATTTTAATCGTTCCAATTCGCTGACAGGCAAATCAATTATCTTGTAAGCTATCAATATGCATAACTATGATCTAAATGCAATATAAAATAAATAGAGATCTTATGATAAAAATAACTGACATTGGAAATTGTAGGAATTAGTTAAATATTCGACACGTTTGGGTGAAGATTGCGATGACCTTCAGAAAGCTCTGGAGTTAATGTTAGGGATTCCTCATCGAGCTACTGACAATAAATTCATCAGCAGCATCGAAGGTTATAAGGGAAATATCCACAAACTTGGTAGATTGCTCACTCATGTTAGTATCAAATATATGTTTTCTAAATTATTTTTTCCTGATTTATATAAATGTTCATAAAGTTAATTACATAATGTCACGAGTAAAAATAAGACTTTTAAACTTTAAGTACCTATATTTGTTTGCTTTTATTTTTTGAAAATAGGAATGGTTTACCGTAACAGATAAAGAAGGAAAGAGCAAAGAAAGATATTTATTCCTTTTTAAAGCACGAATACTCATCTGTAAAGTCAGACGCATATCGGAGGATAGATCGGTGTTTGTCCTGAAAGATATAATTCGAGTAATATTATCTTTTTATTTAATGCTTATAAATATGCTAAGTATTACGGTTTGTAAAATGACTGATTGATTTATTAGCTACCAGAGGTAGAAGTTAAAGATCAACCAGAAAATCAGCGGACATTTGAGTTACACCTTAAATCATCAACTTCGAGTCAACTACAAAATTATCCAATCACATTATCGGCTCACAAAGATCCAGTTAAATCATTCTGGCTCAATGAAATTCGCCAGCATGGCAGCGACGTCTTAGCTCTTGCTGAACACGCGGCTGACGATTTGCAGCTAACCGATATTATAGAAATAGATAAAGCAGTTTCGGGAGATCAACAAATAACCGACATGTCTCGCCGTTACTCATCTAGTCGCTACAGCGCCTCTTCGAAACATGTAGAAGGTAGGCAATCAGCTTATATTTAATATAATAGAGAGTATGCCCATTCAAATCAATTTTCTTTTACTTTTAATGGTAGAATCATCATATTCGAATTTATCAAGAAGTCGAATTTCAAGCGAAGTTTCTGCCTCTCATAAATCAAGTTCAAATTCAAGCACTCAAAAGACTATTACTGGAGGCTCCGTTATTGAGTCTTCAAGTTCCTATCAGAAAAGAAGTATATCTGGCGGTGATTCTTCTATTGATATTTCTAAAATGAAAACTGCTAAATTAGCTTTATCGACCGATAACACTGGCAAACCACAATTCCAAAAAACTATTGAAGGATGCCAAGTGGAACGTAAGTGACCTTAGTTTTTATTGAATTCTTGTATTTATTCTCTCACCTGCCCTATTATATTAATTATTAAATTAAGTATTGATAATACACAATGATATACAATAAATGTACCCAAATATTATAAATAACAAAAATCTTTAAGTCTCCAATGATAACAAAAAACAGATTCAATATTTTATATAAAGAATGTGGCTGCCGATTGATATAATAATCATTTATTATCTAAATATGTAAAGATCATCTTTCCTGTTCTAGAATCTCGAGAAAATTTGGCTATGTTACACATCATAGGTAAAGTCGATTGTAGCATGTATCTCGTAATCATGGTTTTTACAATCATCTTTGTCTATTTTACAGTATACATTTTTCTTTATTATACAAATAAAGTTTCTTATGTATTTTTTTATAGTGGCTTTTAAATTTAAAAATGAACGCTTTAAAGATACAATTGCTCTAATGTTAAATAAATATGCTTTTTTGGCTGAGTTTTTAAATCTTTAAATGTTTTTTATTTTTTTTCTACATTATTTTGTTTATATGTACATATGTAACTCTACACATACATGCACTATGTTATTGATATACATGCACACACTATATATGTACCTGTTTGTAGGTACATATGTTGAACACAAATGTTGGTAACATCTTTCAATTATCATTATCTAATTAATTTCATTGTTTCTTAAAATGCGGATATAAATATAAACGTATTCATACGCTGAAATAATTAATTTCATCTTAAAGTTGAACAATAAAATATTCACGTTAAAAATGTAAATAATCTATTAAACGAGAATTAAATTTAAAGAATGCTTAAAAAGGATATTTATTATTTTTAGGATTATCTTACCCTATCTTATAATAGGGTAATATGTATAAAAATATGATTCATTTATATCAGTCATATTTGATTTACTCATTATTTTTCTGTGTTTATATAAATTTTTATTGGTGTAAGCTATTTATAAAAAATATTAAACTAAAGTTGATCGTGTATTTGCAGCTGGCGAATCTGCTACTTTCGAATGTGTTATGAAATATTCCGATGAATCAACTAAAATGATTTGGTTAAAAGATAACAAACCCATGGATGATAAGCTTGCTGATCGAGTAAAGACAATTAGTGATGGCAAAACCTTCAAATTACAAATTGACAATGTATTAGAATCGGATTCTGGCATTTATATTGCTCGTGCAGCGAACGACGATGGACAAGCGACTTGCACAGCTCAACTTATTGTTCAAGAACGTAAAAATATATTATTTATAATATATATATATATATATATATATATATATATATATATATATACATAATAGTTTATAGATGAAGAAAATAGGTAGAAAAAAAAGATCAATTGTGTTTTCTTTCTTTTCAGTATCAGACGAAGAAAGAAAAGCCAAGGCAAATGCGAATTCTCCTATTTTCCTAGTGCGGCTTAAGGATACGGAAATATTAGAAAACACATATTTACGTTTTATGATTAAAGTTAAAGGTGATCCCAATCCTGAACTCAAATTGTATGTACAATTTTATTTTGTGAAAATACATTTATTTAGAATTATCGTATTTAGCATGCAATAATTAATAAAAAATATTTAATTAGTTATAAAGATAATGTACTTATAACGTCGAGAAATGAACGAGTTAAGATCGTATCAGAGAAAGCAGAAAGTGGATTTTATGAAATTATCATTCCGGATGTTCAAAAGGAAGATGCAGGGAAATATAGTTGTACTGCAATAAATCGCTTTGGTGAAGCATCATGTGAGGCTATCGTTTCAGTTTGTGACGAGAAAGTGATATTTGCAGGTTTACCCGAAGGTTTACTTGAACCTGGAGAAGAACCGAAATTTATATGGACAAGAGATGGTATACCTTTCGATCCTGAAGAAAGATTCAAAGTCCTTTTCAAAGATAGCGAGGATACGCTTGCACTGGTTTTTCAGCATGTGAAGCCGGAAGATGCAGGACTTTATACTTGTGTTGCACAGACCAGTACCGGAAATATTAGTTGCAGTGCTGAACTTACAGTTCAAGGAACTGTTAATCACTTGTTAAGAGAACCACTTAAACCTGCATTAGAATCAGAGTCACGAACCTCGGAGGTTAATGCTGGAGGCTCCGCTATGTTAGATCTTCAGGTAAATATTTTGTTAATTTTTACAATTCTACTATTAATAATAATAATTTGAAATGATATAAAACAGGTTAAAGGCTATCCAAAACCACATATCAAATGGACCAAAAACGGAGAAGAAATAATCGCAGGTGGTAGGATCAAATATCTTTGGGAAGATGAAGAGTCCCTTTCACTTGTAATTAAAAATGTAACGGCCCAAGACGCAGGTATTTACAAAATTTGTGCTAAAAATGATCTTGGAGAAGATAATACACAAATCGAACTGATTGTTAAATCGGCGCCAAAAATTACTAAACGGATGACAGATTTTTCCGTACAAACGGGAGAAATTATTAATATGTCAGTTCAGATCCAAGGTTCACCTACACCTGAAGTAACTTGGTACAAAAATAATCAGAGAATCGAAGAATCAAATCGAACAAAGATAATGAAGGAAGAAAACGATATGTATACTCTAGTGATTGAAGATGCGCAATTGGATGACTCGGGATCATATTCCATTAGAGCTAAGAATGAAATTAATGAAACTTCATTATTCTGGGGCTTAACGGTTGTACAACCTCCGAAAATCACGAAAAAACTTGATAAATCACAACTTGTAGAGGAAGGTGATAGTTTGACATTATGTATTGAAGTCGAATCAAATTCTGAACCAGTTGTTACATGGATGAAAGATGAACGAATTCTAAAGGAAAATGATCGAATAACATTCTCTCAAGAGGGCAATTCGTACTCCTTAAACTTCAGTAACGTTATTGATATAGATACAGCTTCTTATAAAGTTTTAGTAACAAATTCTGATGGAAAAGCATCAGACAAAACTAATATTCAGGTATAATTACACACACACACACACACACACATATATATATATATATATATATATATATATATATGTATATAAACAATTGAAAATTAAAATAAATATTAAAATTAGTTTGTGAAATTTCTATTTTATGGACAATTATAATTTTGTTTCAGGTTCGATCTGCTCCACTGTTTAAAAAAAAAATGGAAAATGTGGTAGCTAATGAGAACGATGCAAATATTGAATTCGTTACTAAAATTAATAGTTTTTCAAAACCGGAAGTACAATGGTACTTTGGTGAAACACGTATAAGTGAGACGAAAAAAGAGTATAGTACAAGTGAAGAGGGTAATTGCTATAAATTAATAATTAAACAAGCAAAGCCTGAATGCGCTGGTCAATATACATGCAAAGCTAAAAATGAAATTGGCGAAAGCAGTACTTCAGCATCTCTTACAGTTCAATACAGACCAAAATTATTGAAAAAATTGGCTGATCAAAAAGTTAAAGAAGGCGATACCTTAAAATTAACCGTTCAGGTGTCAGCAGTACCAGAAGCAGAAATAAAATGGTTTAAAGATGGACAAGAGGTTTCCGCTGATGCTAGAATCAAAATTACTAGGGATAGTCAAAGATTGGAAAACTATGATTTAACAGTAACGCTTTTGAAAGGTACGGACGGAGGTGTTTACGAAGTAAGAGCACAAAACGACTTGGGATATGTCTCCAGTAAAAGCAAAGTTATCGTTTTAAGTAAGTATATTTTATTTAATAATATATTTTACATAAATTTTTCCTATCTAAGTAAAATTTGAAGTTTATATGCCACGGTAATGCATCATAAGTAAGTATTTATAAAATTGGTTCATTATTGTTAGTGAGTTTTATCTTCCAATTGATAAGTTTGTTGTGATTTAGTTTATCCTACAACCGTATTTGTTTACCTTTAATACCCTAAAAAAGATTTATTATTAAAAATAAAACGACATTGAGGGACTATAATTTATATAATAATAACAACAACAACAACAACAACAACAACAATAATAATAATAATAATAATAATAATAATAATAATAATAATAATAATAATAATAATAATAATAATAATAATAATAATAATAATAAATGTATCATGAAATTTAATATATAAATAATTACATATAGCAAAATCTGAAGAAATAATCGGCGATGTAGAAGCAGAACAGAAAATAATCAATGAAGATGTTTCAGCTGAAAGCGAGATCTTAGAAGATGGCCAATCTGAAGGTGTGAAATAATCTTTATATTTCTAGATCATATCATTAACAAGATGATATACATTGCAATTGATTCTTTTACATTAATTGAATGAATATTATATACTTTTGCATAGATTTTCTGATTAGTTATTAACTTCTATAATTTATATTGAAGAAAAAAGTATAAGCTATTTAACGATATTATTAATTATAGATCGAACCACTGATTAGCAATACGCAGATATTAAATCATAAAATAATTATTGCAATGTATGTAAAATTGAAAACTCGGTGACTTATATCTGTTAAAGCATTTTAATTAATTAGTGAATAGAGAATTTGTTAAGCACGGTATATGCATTAAAAATAAAAAATGTAGCTATAGTGAAAATATCTGTAGAAATGATTACTGAATGTGAATTAAATATGGTAAAATGAAAAATGAATATTAATTACAATTTTTTTTTTTTGTAATGATAAATATTTTATTCTATTTTAATATATAAAAAACAAACAAATGAAAATATGCTTTTGGTATTTATATTTTATATTTTTATATAAAATTTTATTTTTATACTACTAAATTTTACAAATTATTCTTCGTTTATTTAGGTTTTTAGTAATTATTTAATTTATATACTTTCAATAAGATGTACATTATAAATATATAAAGCAAAACATTTACAACAATTAAAAAAAAAAAAAAAAAAAAAAAATTTAATCAAGCATATAGAAAATAAAAAGTAAAATATTAGTTATTAAAAAATGGTTAATTATATAATATAGAGAAACAAAATAAATATTTTTATTTGTGCATTTGTATGAAGGTATTTTTCCACGAAAGTCTGCATAAAAATTTTTTTTTATATCTTTTAATTCAATTTTACCATAATTATATTCAACGGAATTTTCACAAAGGAAAGTGATAAAAATCATTTATTGTATATAGCTATATGCAATTGAAACCCCATCCTTTGCGAATATATTTTATTTAAATACTTTACATAAAAAGATAAGAAAGCTAATATTCTACATAGTTTAATGCTTCATAGATGTAGTTGTAGAAAAATTTGTAATAAATTTAGGTCGTCTCACAGTGGAGAAGTCAAATAAAGTCGAAGTTATAAAAGGTACGGGTGGTGAAACAATAACTATTTCTGTGGCTTCAACCACGGAACATGAAGCTACTTTGTCAGGTATCATAACAATTCTTTCACAGTTACACATATAAACAATCAACATAAATATAATGAAGCTTATGAACATAATCGCTAAACACGCAATATCATTATTGCTTTTAAAAATATTTATCAATTGCTTATAAAAATTGTATATACTTTAATAAAAGGTTCAGTGCTATAAAGAAGCATTTAATAAAATGCTTATAGAAAACTTATATTATCGTATATACTGCATTTTCGCTTGTAAATTAGAAAATGTTAGTGTTTAATAAATTAAATTAAATTTGATAAATCAAGATGATAATGCAGATAAATATAACATATTGCGGATATTTTATATCGCAGAAAAATTTAGTGGCTACCTTAATACTAATAAATAATTGTCAATTATAAGTATTAAATTTAAATGATAATATGCATATATTAATACAAAAACTTTAAGATTTCGATTTTTTTAATTCATAATTTTAAATGACCCTAACAATTATTGATAATCGTCAAATGTAAGTGTACGCTGTATTTTGGCTTTTGCCTAATGCTTGATTATAGAACAATACGCGCATGTATTAAAGCAATTGGACTCAGCATGAAGAAACGATGGCTTGGCTATTATCTATTTATCATAATATTTCTTACGATTTGATAGTCATATTGGAGTGAACTTCCACAGGTCCAGATGAAAAGCATACAATTAGCAAAATGAAATCAACGAAAGTTGAGATTCAAGAGATAAAAAGTTCTGATATTGGGCCACAAGTGGAAGAAATCGCCTCATATAGCTATACAATTCAAGAAGAAGAAAACTCGACAAAACCAGAAAACGGAGTGCTGGTTGAAGAGTTTTCCGAAACTGAAGGTAAAGAAATGAAGGATAGAAGAGATAGTAAAATCGACAGAACATCGTTCAATCGTGGCGTTTCCATCGTTTCGATATCAGATGATGACACAAGCGCCAAAGGTCTTTCCCGGGACATAAGTGCCGATGACGTGCAGAATTTTGAATTTGTCGATGATTCTCATACAGTTAATGTTAATTCTGACTTTTACGATCAATCCGAAGCGAGAAAAGAAGAGACGACAGAAAAAAAGAGTCTTTATAAAGAAACAATTATTGAAGAACAATCTATTGATGAATCTTTTAACGAGTCTCATACAGAAAAAGTGGATAATGCTAATAAATGCACTAGAAAATTATCAGATGGACAAATTACCGAAGAATCTTGCGAACGAAAATCTTTAATTTCCAATAAAAGACAAATTTCATCAGATTCGTTAGTATCTGAAACCGCTGAGAAACAAAATGCGACATTCGAAGAGAGTAAATTAACAAAGCAAAATTCCATTCAAAGAAAGAGTATTTCTCAAGAAAAGTCTGAAGAGAATAATAATTCTAGAAAAAATTCTCTAAAGGATAAAAGTTTATCAAGACAGAATTCAAAAATACAAAGGCTTGACTCTGTCGAGAGTCAAACATTCAGCATAAAGTCAATTTCTAGAGTAAATTCAATGAAAGGAGTAATATCGGATGCTGGAGAAGAAGACGACGACATAAAAAGTTTGCTTGAACGCAGTCAACGACAGCGTTCCGTGCTAGACGAAATTTTAGATAAACAAGAAAAGCAAGATGAAAATAAATCAGAAGTGCAAGATGAGAACGAAATTTTTGCTAACCAAGAAAAAGAAGATTATGACGATTATGATGTTGAAATAAAAGATAGCGGTCATATTATAGATAAAGAAGAGCAAGACGATAGTAAAATTTCAGACGAGTCTGAATATGTAGACACGAAAGAACAACATGATATTGATAAAGTGCAGAATGATAATGAGCCAAATAAAGATGATGTAATGTTGGATGTATTTGAAAAACAAGATGATAATAAATTATTAGAGAAAAAAGAAAAAGAAAATAAGAATCAATTACAAGATGATGAACGAGATAAAGATGATGAACAAGATAATGATGATGAACGAGATAAAGATGATTATGAAGTAACAGATGTATTTGGTAAACAGGATGATGATAAACGGCTAGAGGAAAAACAGAAGCAAGATGATGATCAGCCGTTAGAGGTAGAAGAGAAACAAGATGATAAGAAAAATATTGATAAGCGCGAAAGAGATGAAGAAATTGTAAACGTATTTACGAACGAAGATGACAATACGGGGGAAGATAAACCAGAGGAAGATTATACAAATGAATCATTAAGTAAGCAAATAAAGGAAGACAGTAATAATTCTTTAGATAAATGCGGAATAAAAATTAATGATGAATGTTTGGAGAATGAAGAAAAACTATGTGACGGTGAAAAAGGAGGTAAATTAAAATAAATTGACAATTTTAATGAATAAATTAAATTATTTAAATTTGATATTTTAATTTACGACATTTTAATTTACAATATAAATTTAAAGAATTATAATACAAATGTAAACGATTTGATATTTAAATGTTTTGACTGTTTTTAAAAATTAATTCCTATTTTTCCTATTTTTCACATTGTATTTTGTTTGTTATTTTTCATAAACTTCACTCTATATTAATTGCATTTTCATAGCATTTATTGTAAAAATAAATCATTTCTACATGCATGCGCTTAAATAACACAAAAACACAAAGTAAGATCAACAATTTTAATGAGGAATGGTGGCTTAAAATGAAAGTTAAGTATTTAAAAAAATTTAATATTATATTATAAGCTTTATTAATGGCTTTTCGTGTATGAAGCTTATTTATAAAATATTTTAGTAGGGCGTCAGTGATTTTTTATTATCAATATTTTGAAGTAATCTTACGTATTCCTTAGCATCTCCTGTAATTATAAGTTCCACATTGGAAGATCGTGATATTTATGAAACGCAAAGTACAATGTTTGAAGTACGTGCCACTGGTTTACCTAGACCAGAAGCGAAATGGTATAAGGATGGAGAACCCTTAAAAATTTCTAAACAAGTACAATACACTACTATCGGCGAAGTGTTCCAGTTAAATGTTACAAAGGCGTTAGAACAAAATTCCGGTATATATACTCTTGTACTTACAAATAAATTGGGAGAAAAATCTCTTGAAGCTTTTTTGAATGTGGAACCTGTTGATGAACTTCGTAAGCCGAAGATTATGGAACCTCTTCGAGATGTAGATGTAGATGAAGGAAAAACTGGCACTTTTAAAGCAGTTATTACCGGTGATCCAATTCCAGAAGCAATATGGTATATTTTTATACTTATTAATGTTTACATTATAATTACATTAATTTGGATTATACGATTGCTCACGTATTTCTGTTTTCTTTGAAAAAATTTCTCAAGGATGTTGAACAATGAACCGCTTGATAGCGATGAAAATAAACACAATGCAAAAATTGAAAGCAAACCAATAGATGATGGACTAAAGCAATGTACGTATACTTTAGAAGTTTGTAAGAGTAATCCTGATGATGTTGGAAATTACACGTTGGAAGTAAAAAATAAATATGGCGAAGCTGCGACTAACGTAAGAAGATAGACAGATTAATAACATTGATATTGAAACCCTTTAAAGCAAGTTGAGTTGCATTATTTATTTTTTGTTCTAGGCCGAGTTAAATTTACGTATTGTACCCATAATTGAAGATTTTAAGGACTTAACAGCTCCTGTAGGCGAATCAGTGATTTGGGAAGCAACCATCAAGGCAAATCCAAAGCCTAAAGTTGTTTGGCAATGCGACGGTCGCGATGTTACTTTAGATAGTCGTTTTACTACAGAGGAAGATCATAAAAATAGAAAATACAGGCTCAAAATTAAAAATTTAGAAATCTGTGATGGTGGTCGATATAAGATTGTTGCAACGAATGAAATGGGCGAATCATCCGAAGAAATGCAACTCAAACCTTACAGTAAATTTTTTTTTCAATAAAAGCAATAATGTATATATAAAATTACAATAGATTAAATAACATCAAATTTTAATTTTAGCTGAGAAGCCGATGTTTACGAAGGAATTAAATAATTATGCGTCTGTTCGAGATCAAAATAACTACGAAGCGGAGGTTCGTGTAACTGGTTATCCACGACCTATAATCGCTTGGCTGAAAGATGGAGTAGAGATTTACGAGGATATGCGAAACACCATCAGCACTACTATAGAGGGGCCTGAAGTTGTAAGCAAATGGATTATCGAGCATTTTGGTGAAAAAGATGCTGGTAACTACATATGTCAAGCGACCAATATGGCTGGAGTAGCTAAATGTCTAAGTGAGCTTACGCTCACTCGTTTTCCACCAAAGTTTTTCCGTAGCTTGCCACCTTCGCTCGATCTTGATCAAGGGGAACCACTTGAATTATTTGCGCAGTGTGATGGTAGTCCCATACCTTCAGTTACTTGGTACAAAGACGGAGAAATTATAGTGCCTAACGATCATGTCAAGATCGATGTTTTACCCGATGGTACAATGCGATTATCAATAGATCAAGTTAAACCTACTGACTCGGGTGCTTACAAAGTTGTTGCGTCCAATACTGGTGGCGATAATCCATCTCAATGTGCAGTCGCCGTTAGACGTAATTTTATTCTTAACGAATTTCAATTTTGTAATTGAAAAAAATATTTTTGATCATATTGCAAATTGAAACTTTAATTATTCGAAAAATCCATAAAATCTATTAAGTCTTTATTCAGTAGTAAGTTTAAGTTTTTTTGACAAGTATTTTAGTAAAATAAGAAGGATATTTGCTTAGATATAATTTTGACATGTTTTGGATACAGTTAAATTTATATTTTCAATTACAGAAAAGATATTTTGAATTATTAATAGCTTATAATTTAATTATAAATATAATTATGATTTTTTTTTTTTTTATGTAGCTGAGTCGATAAAGCCATACTTCGAGAAAGGATTAGAGGATGCGAATACATTAGTCGGTGAACCCTTGAAGCTCGAGGCACAGATAGTGGCATTTCCGAATCCACAAGTTCAGTGGTTTAAAGACGATATTCCATTACGGCCGTCAAAGAATATCTACTTTACAAATGAGCCTAATGGTATAATTGGGTTAACAATCGATAAATTGCGCCCGGAAGATGCTGGTGTTTACTCACTCCTTGTATCGAATGAATTAGGAGAAATAACAGGTATTTCGAAAGTGAAGGTTGATGAAAGTGAGAAGCGTCCAGCTTTTATAGCAACTCTTCACCCAACAACTGTCGTCGAAGGATTCCCAGCCAAGCTCGAGGTTAAATTAGTCGGCAAACCAGCACCTCTTCTTAAATGGACTCACAACGGCAATGAGGTATTTTTCATAGTCTCTTATATAAACAGATATTAGTACTCATTAGTATAATATTGTTAGATTGTTCCGGATGGCGAACATATAAAAATTATCGAACAACCTGATGGTAGTCAGGCTCTATTAATCGATAAGGCTGGTCCTAATAATGCGGGGGAGTATGCTGTTCATGCTATTAACTCACAGGGTGAAGAATCTTGCAAATCTCGGCTTGAAGTTGTCCCCAAATCGTGTGAATCTGCACCAGAAGAGAAGCCTCAGTTCTTGTCACTGCTCCACGACGTAAGCGTTAAAGAGGGAGAACCACTCATTTTGCAAGCTCTCTTTACTGGGAATCCTATTCCTGAAGTGATTTGGAGTAAAGATAATAAGCCTCTGGAACCCTCAGAATGTATATTGATTAGTTGTGATGGTAAGAAGGTTGGCCTTGAAATCAAGCCCAGTAGTGCTAAAGATTCAGGCGTCTATTCGTGTGAGTTACGTAGTCCCCAAGGTTCCGATAAGAGTAGTGCCAATGCTACGGTTCGCAAAGTTAATCAAGCGCCGATATTTACACAAAAATTCTCAGACTTGCAACAGATGGTAGATTGTGATGCTAAATTTGCGGCACGTATCAGTGGTATTCCTCAGCCAGAGATTAGTTGGTTTTTCAATGATAAGCTGATAAAACCAGACAACGATAAGTATAAAATAAAACGTGACGGCGAAGCTTGTTGCCTTTATATAAAAAATTGCAATACAGCTGATGTTGGTCGTTATAAATGCCAAGCTACGAATAGCGAGGGCACAACGGATTGTGAAGCCTCTCTCGATGTCGTTAAAGAATTGTTAGTTATTATCTTAATTTGTAATTTATAATATAAGCTCATTTTTATGGCCATCTTATATGTTTATAATTTTTAGGGATAAGACGAAGAGAATTGAGCCACCATCATTTTTGAAGAGAGTAGGAGATTGTGAAGTTTATAAAGGTATGACAGCCAAATTTACGGCTTGTGTAACTGGATACCCTGAACCCGAATTTGAGTGGTATCGGGATGACACTAAACTTTGGCCGACGGATCGAATATTAATGGAAAATGAAGGTGCTGGACTTCTAAGACTTTCGATTTATCATGTTGACGAAGACGATGCCGGAAAATACACTCTACGAATTTTCAATCCTCATGGTGAGGCAAAATCTGCTGGCGAGATGATTTTCGAATGTAAGTACAAATTATATGTTAGTTCTATATAATATAATAAAAAGACATAAAAAATTCTAATTAAGTTAAAAATGGAAAATATATTAAAAATAAAATTTTTACTTTAACATTTCTGTATTTACCAATGGGTTTTTAAAACGAAATTGTAAAATAAAATATTTTCAAAGACATAACTTTACAGTAAATATATATATATATATATATATATATATATTCTACATATTTATAAAATGTTTAAAATTATTTATAAATTTTTAGTGATTGTAATTAGTGAAAAATTTACATCATTTTTTTATTTCTTATAAAATGATTAAAATTTAACTATGAAAATTATTTATGAAATAAAATCGATCAAAAGCATATAGCCATTTAAAGTATAATTTTATATTAAATTATGGAGTAAATTTTAAATTATTATTAATTTAGTAATCTATCCTAATAATTTGGTGATTGTGCTATCTATTCTAGCTATCGAGCCGAGAAACAAGAGATTAGTCGATCAGTATGCTGATTATGACAGATATCGTAAATCTGGACTCCCACTTCCTTTGTCCGATCGTCCAATAATTAGTCGCATGATGGATCGTCATCTTACGCTGTCGTGGAAACCATCAATACCTTCATCTCCGAGATTGCCCGTAACTTATCAAGTTGAAATGTGCGAGCTCCCGGACGGCGATTGGTTCAGTGTGCGCAGTGGCATTCGTGGCTGCGTTTGTGATATTCGCAATCTCGTACCCTTCCGTGACTACAGATTCCGTGTTCGAGTCGAAAATAAATATGGCATCAGCGATCCTTCGCCATACAATCAGACTTATCGAGCTAAGCTTGAGCCTGACCCACCAAAGTTCTATCCTTACTTACCACCGGGAATCGACTTTCGACCCGAAACTAGTCCCTACTTTCCTAAAGATTTTGACATTGAGAGACCACCTCACGATAATTACGCACAAGCGCCGCGCTTCTTACGCCAGGAGTTCGATACTCAATACGGTGTTAAAAATCAAAACTCCAAGCTTTTTTGGTTCGTTTATGGCTATCCTAAGCCAAGAATGACCTATTATTTTAATGGAGAACTTATTGAACCTGGTGGTCGATACGATTATACCTATACAAGAAATGGTCAAGCAACGCTCTTCATTAACAGGATGCTTGAGCGAGATGTTGGCGAGTACGAAGCTGTTGCAACCAACGAGCACGGTGAGGCTAGACAGCGAGTGCGTCTTGATATCGCCGAGTATCCGACTTTCATAACGAGACCAGATGAAACCTTCTCTATGGTTCGCAAAACCATCAAGATTGAAGCTAGAGTTACAGGTGTACCATATCCCGAGCTTAAGTGGTATAAAGATTGGAAACCACTTGCTTCTTCTACTAGAATCAAGGTCACATAGCAGCAACATACTATTTATATTAAATTTAATTTACATTCACTTATTACATTCTAAATTTTAATTTCTGAAGAGAATGAGATAATGTTTCATTAATAATTAAGATTTCTGTTTATTTTATATTATAAAATTAACTATATATGTACATATATATATATATATATATAAATTTTGCTTAATTTTAGAAGTAATTTATGAAATGTAAAGATAATATTGAATTCAATAGATCCAATTTGTCGAGCCTGACTTATCGATTCTCATAATTGAGGATGTGATTCTGAAAGATGAGGGCTTATACTCGCTGTCGGCTTGCAACGTCGCTGGCTGCGCTTCCAGTTCAGCAATGCTTCATGTGGAAGAGTGCGAGACCGATTGGCGTTATAAAAACTATGCGATAACGGCGGATGTGAAACCTCGACAGAAGCACTTTAATGACGATTATGACTTTGGTGACGAGCTTGGTCGCGGTACTCAAGGCATCACGTACCATGCGGTCGAAAGAAATTCAGGCAGGAATTTTGCAGCTAAATATATGCGAGGAAGTTCCGATGTTCGGCCATTAATGTTGAATGAAATGGATGTAATGAATAGTCTCAATCATCGTCACCTATTACGTTTGCACGATGTTTACGATTATAACTCATCCTTCACTCTTATCATGGAACTGTATCCTTTTTTCCACTATGTATTTATTATAAACGTCATTAGAATCGTACAACAACTAATGCATATTGCAACTAATGCAATTTAGTTAAAAGCTTTATTAATCGAATGAATTTTTACAAAATGATTAAGTTACGTGGATATTAAAGATTTAAATTAAATAGTTAATAGATATTACATGTATATAACATATAAAACATATATGTATATATATAAATATATTGACAATATTTCTTTAACTTGAAATTTCGATAAATGAAATATGCAGAGGTGGAGGAGGTGAGCTTGTCGACACTATCACAAGGAATCCTTATTATACTGAAAGGGAAATTGCGGGATACATCAGACAAATAATTTTGGGTCTCGATTATATGCATAAATCTGGATGGGCACATCTTGGTCTTACGGTATTTTGTTTTATACAATATATTTTATTATCATTAATACATAAAAGAGCAAGTAAAATAGTATTTGACATTTTTTTTAATAAATAAATTTTATAGGTATTTATTAGTAATTGGTAGAAAATATATGAAGTATATGAAAATATTATGAATAATATTGACTAATATTATCACCAAATATTATTTATAAACAATTGTTATTTAAACTAGTAGATCTTAAAATATATTGAGATATTAATATGGACGCTAACTATCGCTTAATGATTAATGTTTTATCTAAAACCTTCATATATTATATCATTTAGCCCGAGTGTCAATTTCAAATATATTATATTCAAAGTAATACTTTATATATAATTTATACAGTATACGATTTTTACTAATATATTTATTTATAATTTAATTAAAATAGTGTAAACAGATGTATATTTATTATTTTTATTATCATATAATTTAACATTTTATTAAAAATATAATTTATTAGTTAATTTTTTTTTTTTTTTTTTTTTTTTTTGTAATATGATTCGAATTGTCGAAGTGATACAAAGTTGATATATACATGTGCACCAACGAAAAACTTAATTTGATGTATTTTTTAATTTTACTTAATTATATAATCAAGTATTATGATATGTATTAAACAATATATCATCTACTTTTTATCGATATTTAATTATTTGTTTGATTTTATTTTAAGCTGGGAGACCTATTAATTTCTCATTCAGGTGGCGATGATCTAAAAATTTGTGATTTTGGCTTATCACGACGAATCGTTCGAAATAAATTAATGACCTTATTGTACGGTATGCCCGAATATGTTCCACCCGAAGTACCAAATGGTGAAGGCGTTGAGTACGGAATGGATATGTGGAGTACAGGTATCATAACTTATATTCTGCTCACTGGTATTTCACCGTTCCGCGGTACCAACGATCGTGAAACATTAACGAGAATCAGGGAAGGCAAATGGAACTTTGATGATGAACGCTGGACATATATATCAATCGAAGCTAAAGATTTCATTACCAAATTACTCGAATATCAAACTGAAAGACGAATGGATACTGAAACGGCTCTTCGTCATCCCTGGCTCAACTTTTCCGAGAGAGAATCTATGGAGTATTACAAGATCCCTTCGGAATATCTTAAAGATTATTATATTCTTTATCGAGATTGGTACAAGAACGCATCATGTCGACAATGGTATCGTAGACGTCGCATAACCAGTGCCTTTGAACATCCCTCAAAAATGGTTTACCCACCAGGGCATAGATACACGCCCGAAAAAAGTCCCGAGAGGCACTTAACATCGATGAAGAGACCACCACCCAAGGCCTGGGAAAATCGCATCCCATCTAGGGAGCCTATCGACACAGAAATTGGCATATTTAAGAACGAAAGCCAGTATGTATCAATATAAAATGTTTACGTAATATAATAATTATAATAGGAATTATAAATTAATATATGCCTACACTAAATATAGATATATTGCAATTGCTATGATTTTATGTCATTCATTATTATTTTGTTTAACGCTTGGTATTGACTTTATCATTGAAATTTACAGTTATCAGAATGGACCTGACACTTATCTGTTACAAGTACGGGATACTGATTTCCCGATACGACTTCGTAAATATATGAAAGTAGCCCACAATCGTGGGTTTGGCTATCCACGTATATTCACGGATGAGAACTATGACTGGGCAGTGAGTAATAATTTTATCTCAATGTATTCGTCGAGCGGGCAATTTAATAGCCGAAACATCATTGCAGACTCCAGCGATCCGGGAACGGCGTCGCTTTACCGATGTCATGGATGAAGAAATTGACGATGAGCGCAAAAATCGTATTATTGGTTATGGGACTGGAGAACCAGCTGCACCGCGCCGATTGCGTCACGAACTCGGCACGCGCCTCGACAGCTACACCGAGGTCGAGGCCCTCCTCGAGAGCAAGCAGCCCGGACAGCCACCGTTCTTTCGCGAGAAGCCGCGCACTCAGCCGATGAAGGAGGGCGAGACCATACAGCTGAGCTGCCTGGCGATTGGCAGCCCCAGACCCATCATCCAGTGGTTCAAAAACGATTGCCTCGTCCAGCAGAGCAGCCGCGTTCATCTTACTGAGGATGATGATGGACGTTCCGTCCTGACTCTCGAGCCCGCGCGCGAGCACGACTTCGGCATCTACAAGATTGTTGCGCGCAACAAAATCGGCCAAACGACGACTCGCATGCGTCTCATCCGTGCCACATTGCCTTGTGCACCTGACTCTCCCGAGCTCAGCGATGCCTCGTGCACTGAAATCCTGTTGCGCTGGCGACAGCCTAGGTACAATGGTAACGCGCCCATCCTCTGTTACGCGCTCGAGTGTCGGCGTGCCGATGCGGTCGAGTGGATCGTCGTCGCCCGTAACATCGATCACGAGTTCTTCCTTGTGCACGATCTCGAGCCCGGAGTCAGTTATAATTTCCGATTATCGGCGCGCAATCGACTTGGATGGAGCGAGTTTGGCGTACCAACACGGCTTATGCGCACACGCTCGATCCAAGAGGAGGTGCCCGCGCTGACGTTGACACGCGCAATGAATCTTGCGCAGCGCTTGACCGAGTCGGGCCGAGAGATACTCGTGGAAGAATCGAGATCGCGACCGGATTACGCCGCAGAGGCCTCGCCACCCGACTGGGACCGCGAGTCCCGTATCGCCGAGCGTTATAGTTTCGTGTCGGAACTCTACCGGGGACAATTCTCCTTGGTAGCAAAGGGCGTGGAGCGCGAGACAGAACGCGTGGTCGTTGCTAAGATGTTCGAACTGCGCCCGGAGATAGAGCAGCGCGTCAACGAAGAGTTCGAGGCGTTGCGTTCGCTACGCCATGAGCGAATCGCCCAGCTGGAGGCGGCTTATCGGCCGGCTGGTTCACCGGTTGCCTGTATCATCATGGAGAAGCTGCAGGGTGCTGACGTGCTGACCTACTTAGCAAGCCGACATGAATATACGGAAGACTGCGTGGCCAGTGTCGTGTCACAGCTCCTAGACGCGTTGCAGTACTTGCACTGGCGAGGCTTCTGCCACCTCGATATCCAACCGGACAACGTGGTAATGGCCTCGGTGCGTGAAGTGCAGATCAAGCTGGTTGACATGGGTGCGGCTCACAGGATCTCCAAAAAGGGCTGCGTCGTGCCCATGCTCGGACATCCGGAGTACTCATCGCCGGAAGTAATTAACGGCGAACTCGCTTTTCCTCAGTCGGACATCTGGCAGGTTGGAGTACTCGCTTACGTATTGCTCTCGGGTGTCTCACCTTTTCGTGGCGAGGATGCCAATGAAACGAGACAAAACATCACCTTCGTGCGGTACCGCTTTGAATATTTATACAAAGAGTTGACCCAGGAGGCTACGCGTTTCTTGATGATGGTCTTCAAACGTTCTCCAAGGTAGGCTCCAAATACTCGTTTTAACAGCTGAACGAGAGTTTCGTTCATTGTAATTAAGGCATTTAACTATTTGATTATTTAATTACAAACACCATGATGATTACAATGATGAATAATAAAATGTTTTCATTTTTCTTAGATTCGATATAATATTTTAATTATGGTCTTAATAACGTGATGTACTGTCTTAATAGTTATCAATGATATATATATATATATATATATATATATTTGACCAAAAGTTCTTTTATATATGTTTTAAAGACATTTATTATAAGATTCTTATTGTTTTACAATAAAATAGAATTAACATAAATCTATTATAAAGCTGTAGAAATCAAAATTAAAAATTTTGATATTCTAAAGTTTATTGAAATAAGTCCAAATTTCAAGTATATTTTAGTATACTTTTTAATTTCTAAAGATACGTAAATTTTTAGGAAATTCGACGCGCGTCATAATAATGTAATAATTAGAATCATGTTGTTAAAGAAAAAGAAATTTAATAACGCATAATATCTGTATAGTACGTAGATCTTATGTAATTATTAATATTCATCATTTAAATTGCATTACATTATGATGATTAATATTATATTGAATTGATATTGATAAATAACAATGTATGTAAGCACAAAAAAAAAATTGACCAATATGAGAAATATAAATAAATAAAATATTTATAAGTATAATTCAGTTATTTTATTGAAAATAAATATTAAATAATAAAGATTAAAGTTCTAAATTAATATTGAAAGCAGCCTTGTCTTTTATGAATTATACTTTAATTCATATTACTAAAATTATTATCGGCTCTTTAATTTGTGATACTTATACTAGATTACGCGTAATAAATCTACTCGCCCCTGTCATTATTTAATTACATTTAGAAATCAAATAACTATCTGCAATTGCGCGATACGGTATTTTTCACTAAATGTATTAGTGTTTATAATCTTATTATTTACTGAGAATAGAGTGTAAGATCGTTATGCATACAATTTTTATTAATATTTTTCCAACTTGATTCATACTTTAGTTAAATAAATATTAAAAAAAAAATATTATTACCAAATTTCGTATCTTTGATAAATTATTTTTTACTTCAAAGAAACTATGGTGTTTTAAGTTTAGTTATTTTATACTTTATAAAGTTTTATATATATATATATATATATATTTATATGATTGATGAATATGATTCTACATGTTCTTTCATAAACAATATAACAATTTGTGTGTACGATGCACATTAATTTAATGTTACTTAAAAATTTATCCTTTTTTTGAAAATACTTTTTCAAACTTAATTTTCTAAATAATGTATTTATTTTGCACTCACGTATACAAAAGAGTATCACAATATAAGCAAGAAAATGTATATTTAATATTATATTTAATTAAATTATTTACAATGAAAAACAATTTTTTGTTAATATTATTTTAAATTATTTTATGCAGGATATACAGAAAATATATTTATTTTGAAACAAATATTTTAAGAGGGATTGAATAAATTTCGATTCGCAACATATAAGAAATACTCGACTCCTGCATACTTCTTACTTATATGACTGCAGACATTTGCATTTTGAAGTAGTATTGTTTCACTACCACTCCAATTGACATTACTATTATCTAAATAATGAGTTCTAATAACTTTTGATTTATTATTTATAATATATTGTTTATTTACAGTTTCAAATGTATGTCATACAAGTCTTTTTTATTCTACAATTATGATTGATGATAATAATCAATTAATCTACTTTGATATATTGAATATACAAAAACAATTTGATATTTTGAAAAGTATAGAGAGAATAGAAATTATTATAGAAATTATTATAGAAGAAATGAATAGCAATTATTTCAATTTAATCATTTTTAAAATCCATTACAACTGAAACAAAGAATTGAATACTTTAATTATTAAGTAATATTTAAATCAATAGATATTTAATTATTTTTTATGGTTTTAAAAGAGTTTTGCAGAGCACGATTAGAAAAACTTTAGACATCTAGATGATATTAACAAATTTTATTATTAATGACAATACAGATGAAACAAAGATTTATTGAATTATTATTGAATGTTTTAGTAAAAGACCAACAGCCGACGAATGCCATGAACACAGATGGTTAATGCCTTCTGAGTATATGATCAAGAAGCGTGAACGATCGGTATTTTTGGGTAACAGGCTAAAGGAATACAACGAGGAATATCACGAAGCGAAGCGCAGGCAGGCGTCACAAGGTGAAGCTTTGGCCGAGGCATTAGGCTCATCCAGACAACTCGCTAGATCGAATAGTATACAGGACGAGCTGCTCACGACATTCTGAACGTGTTTCGTTCGGAAGCTTGGCTACTAAATCAACACTCTCAGTCGAATGAATCTAGTCAGCTGCGTGAGAAAGATGGAGAAAAATGGAAGTGTGTGTGTGCGTGCGTGCGTGTGAGAAAGAAAATGAGAGAGAATAAACGCGCGATGCGAGAGAAAAGGGAAGATAAAAATTAGTTATATTAAATGGAAAAGTCCAATTGGAGGTATTTCTTGTTTTGTCTTGTTATAATCTATATATTTGTTATATTTTGTCATCACAACTGTTAAATGTCTAATTGAGATTTAATAGTTTCAAGTAGTCAACCTTTGTACATCCTCCCGTTATTCTTTTTAAATTATGTAATTTTGACCTTTCATACGAGCAAGAGTAAATACGTTAATAAAACAGAATGTTAAGCCTGATATTAAGATTTCTACTCTTCATTAAACCATTTAAAAACTACTTGATTCTTTTTATTTTAATATTAAATAATTTCCTTTATTTACAAATCAATTTCTCCCTGTATCACAATACTTGGCAATCATGTAAAAAAAGTTGCGCTTGTACAATTTGTATTTCTACAAGTTATTAAAAGGAAAGTATTGTTGAGAATAAGCAGGGAATACAATGTTACTAAATAATTTGTTGATTTAAGTAAAAAACCACATGACAAATGCTTTTAAATCACAATTAGTATCATAAAAATAAAGAATTATTTGTCAATTAATTTGTACAATTATTTCAATGTTTGTATTCATCACCATGGTTTTAAACAAAACACTAGAATCTAGGAATTCAATATTTGGCATTGCAGATTTTCTAGTTTTAATCATCTTTTGGCAAACTGTATCAAATATTCTTTCACTTTGATACCAAACAACTCTTTATCCTTTGAAAATAAATCTGCCGCTTCTCTGTTTAAAGGGTCATCAAAATTTAATAAATCCTAAAATAAATTATAAAAAATTTGCATTATTTTATTTTAAATATTATAAGAGCAAAATATAAATTTATATAAAACATATACTAATGAAAAAAGTGAGAAAATAAGAATTTAATTTAGTTTGTAGTTTAAAATAAATTGTTAAAAATTGAGAGTATTTTCTATTGTGATTTTAAACTTATAATGTTACAATAAAATATTTGTATTATCTTAGTTATTCTATGCAATATGTAGAAATTTTATATTTTGCAAAAATATTTAAGTTAGAAGTATTTGTCATTCTCAAAAATGTAATACGTTTTTGAATTTTTAGATTTTGTAAAGAAAATTGATTTATTAGAAATGTATTGATAAGATATTTAGAAATAACACTATTCACTGATTTTTTTGTCTTTTTAATACTGTAGATTACATTTAATTATATGTTTATAATTTGAGATTAAAAATCAAGATATTTACATTATAAAATACTTACTGTAAACAGAGAACTTAAACCCCAAACAACATCTTTTAGTTTCCTTGTAGGTGCCCACCCCATTCCATCAACACTGTTTTGCCTTAAAATTGATAAACATACATCACCCTCCTCACTTATATTAGGATGCCACAATTTTGTTAAACATTTAACTCTTGGCGGCTAAAGTAACAAAAATTAATCATAATATAGTTGATAAACAGATTATTAATTGCAATAACTTACAATCATATTATATTCTTCTGGTACATTAATTTGAAAATAAAAATGACCTCCACACCAATATCCTTCATCTGGTATAATCAGTAATGTAAATTCATACAAACAATGTGGATCGTTAAATGTAACTTGACATGTCATAGGAAGAGTTTGTTCCATTTCTTGCGCCTAAAATATAAATAAGCAGAAATAATAATAAAATACAAAAAAAATTAATATCGATCTTTAATAATTACCTCTTTTATAAGTAACTTATCTCTAATTGATACTCTTTTGCTAGGAATATTCTGAGACTTGCTATTTGATACATCCGGATCTTTTTTGAGTTTTCCTCTTAATGTAATCATTCTATATATTACATGCAATTTCAGTACGTAGATTCTTTAGTTATATTGAAAAATTCTAATATATTAGAGATATATTTATTTTGTTAAACATGAGAAATGTTAATTGAAGTTAACCTAAAAGTTGCAATGGACAGTAGCAATTGAAATAATTTTTAATGCAACGACTTCACAATGAAATATTTTTCCTATATAAATTTTTCTTTTAAATTCACGTCATTTAGAAATACGTATTATTTTTTTTAACGTTTTTCACCTACAGCATGTATTTGTAATTACAATTATTTTACATTGTTTTATCTCATGAAATGTCATGACTAGATGGATTTATAGTATTTCCTTATTAACTGTAATATCCTTTGTAGGTTATAAAGAAAAAGATAACTTTTCAACATTTATTTTTAAAATAACTTCATTTTTATGAACACTCTGTTCACAATTTTAAAGTATATTCTTTTAATATTTAAAAATAATTAAAGAATTATTCTTAACTGGAGATACTCGAGAAGTTAAATAATTTTCTATAGCTAGAGTATGATAGAGCAGGTTATATGGTGTATATGATATTTAAATCTACCATTTTTGATTTTGTTAACAAAAATATGTACTCACTCCTAGATATGTTGAATTAAAAGTACTGTAGAAAAATTTATAAATAACAGAATGTGTGGTTTATAATATCGTGAAATTTTATAAATTATTATAATTATATGATTATTATGATAATTAAACAATTTTTACAATTTGAAGGAAATAATTTGTATTTTAATTACAATTTTCTTTATATTTGTTAAATGCTTTTTAATTTATTAAGAAATAAAGTAAATAAAGTATTACATTATTTGAAATTAACGGACATGATCGTAATAGTTCGAAAATTGTAAATTACGTTTAAATAGCCCAGTTTATACTAAAGTATTGGCCTATTATTATTATTATTATTAAGAAATAATAGTTTAGCAATGTATTACGAAATTAAAAAAGAAGATAAATTAATTAAAATAAAATTTGAACATTTTTTTTATTTTTATTATATTTATGATTAATATATGTATTTTTTCTTAATATAATGCTTTAAATTTACTTTTAGTATAAAATAAGATTGTTATTTAATATGAGTTTCACATAGTTTTAATTTACTAATATTGTAATTTGATAGAGTAAAAAAATACTATGGTCGCCATTTTGTCTTAAGGTGTTCATTGCCAAATAAGAATGTTTTAGTCAATGTCTTAACTCTCTTAATTTTTGGTCTATCAATAAATTAGTGTAATTTATTGGTTAGAATTTTTTGTTAATACATTGATACGTGTACAAATTTCATTTTGTATCTTATAATTATCTGTTAAAGGTAAAAATATATGTCAAATTAGAATAAACATTTAATAATAAAGAATATTTTTATTACAGATGATTACTGACGTGCAATTGGCAGTTTTCTCTAATGTTTTGGGCGTCACTTTATTCTTTTTAGTTTTTATTTATCATTATATTAATGCTAATTGTTCCAAATGAGAAAAGTGAATCTTTTTCTGTCAAATATGAATTTCACGAATAAACTTTGAATGTAATTAAATAAATATAAATGATGTAAGTCCTGAAATAAACAGCTCTTATATAAAAGTTCTGAATTTAATTATATACATAAAATTATTTCTTAGCCGAACTAGAAGAATATGGATCAACTAGAGAGTATGAATATACGTGGATCTTTATTTTTTGTAGAGACGAATAAATTTAAAAAGTTTCCACGCGTTTTACTTTTATACTTTCTTTCTTTGATTTATTAAAAAATAATTAAAAATTAATGATTGTAATATAATTTGTTTGAGACTTTACAGTTATCTTAAATATCTTTCAACTTTTGTTAATTTAAAGTATCTGACAAATTTTGTATTTTTAATACAATTTTAAATGTGAAATAATTCATAAAAATATTTTGCTCTATAAATATATGCAACTGAAAAGTTGTATGTTATGCAATAATATTAAATAGAATGTAACAGAATCAAATAGAAATATATATAAATTTATTAACTCATTATTATACAAACCAAAAGATGTACTTGATAAATAAAAAAATGCTTGGATGTCAATGTCTGTCTTATAAAGTATAGATATTTTACTCTAAAATTTGTTCTAAATAATGAATGAACTTGTTCACAGATTTAAAAGTTAATAATTAAAATTTTCAAATTGAAACTATTGTCAAATAATTATTCATCATAAAATATAGTTATAATAAGTTATAATACTACACCTAAATTGTATCAATGTACGAAATAGTTTTTTTATATAGTTTCGATGTAGTATTAATTAAATAAAGAAAATAATTTTTTTTATGTAATTTATTTGAAATTGCTTATCAAGTATATGAAAAATGTACAGATTTAATAAAATTTGTACATATGTACATAATTGCTTATATAAAGTTTAATTATAAGAAAAAGTGATCACTGTGCACTAGACCGATTATTGTCATTGAAAATTGCATTATTTAAGCAATTCTAAACATTTTCCAAATTGAAATTCGTAGTTTACTTTGGATAAAAATAATATATTATATTTTTAATAAATTGTTTATTTACTTGAAAATAAGTGGAAAGCTAATAATAAGTTAGAGCACAGTAAAAGACAATTAAACTGATATTTGATATAAAATGTTTCATTTGCCACAATCAATATTTATTCTGAAATATTTAACCTCATTTTAGTAGACAAAAACTATGTTTTATATATAATATTTACAACTTTGTATGATCTTTGCAAGCATTTGTTATAAATACTCTGCCACTTACACGAATATGTAGTAATTAAATAAAAAAGTCATTCCCGCATTACTTTCCTGCATACAATTGTTTATAAATGTAAAATCTATTTAAAATGAACCATTTATTGTAACCTTTTACATGGATAGTAGAAGCAATTTTTTTATTTTATCAATGCAGTATTACAAATATTGCAATAAAATAGATTTCAAAATTTATTATATTGTTTTACCGAGTTTTTTAATTGTATCTAAATAAAATAAACTCAATTTTCACATAGATTGCATGTTTATATTCAAATTAGTTAATCATGAAAAAGTTTATATGAACTATTTAAAAAATGCAATGTTAAATGGATTAACATAATAATTTTATTAGATTTAATAGTAGTTAATATTTCATTTAATGTATTTGAAGATTTCTAATGTTAATCTTGATAATGATTTTATTTACTATGTTCTTTTAATTTTATCAAATATATATTCTTTTTAATTGATGCTTAAATAACTTTTTTATTAACGATCATTAGAATTAAATTAACTTTGTCATCAATTATAATTTATTCAAAGTGTATAAAAATTAATATAATTTAAAACATTATATAAAATTTATATAAAAATGTTTGTAGTAATAAGAGCTCGGCAGATTCATATTTCATGTAAAACTATACATGCAATATAACACTCGCGTATTGATATATTTAAAAATTTGATCCTATAATAGTAACAAATTATAACAATGTAGCTATTATATTCATTTGCAAAATCATATCTGTTTATTGAAATAAATAAACATTAAATATTATTTAATGAAAATTTTGTGTTGAAATGCATTACTCTTTACAGGTATATTATAGAATGCATATATGCACTCGTACAATTCACTTTAATGTGCAATCCTGTTATCACAGAATGAGATGAATCCTACTGACTACTCAAGTCATTATATATCGATGTATTGATTTTTGATTTTATTGCATATATTGCAAAATTTATAAATGCCTTTAAAATGGCATTAAAGTCAATTCTTACTTGTATCCTCTTATTTTTTTTTTTATAGAGTTTGTCAAGTGAAGATTTTTGAAATTAATCTCATTTCTTTTTAATTTGAATTAAAAATATATTAGTAAAATATGTAAAAAGCTACATCTATTATTGAAAGAAACTCTACTATTTAATAGATTACTAAGAGATTAAGAACGTGCTATGATTTTATAAAATTGTCGAAATTGGAAATAAATTTTAGACGAACAACCTTAGCTCATTTTCTAAAAGTTACATAAATCACAGATAAAGTAGTTTCGATGCACCAGGACATAAAACTGTAAATCTCGATAATGAGAGCTTTTACATTTTTCAAACATATCTTTTCATTTCTGTCCGTATTAGATACTATCCTTTCTATTTACAATGTTATCTTCTTTATCAACGGGTGGTGGTCCAGTTGGAATTGAACCACTTGGTCCAGCTGTTAAGTAACCAGCCGATACAGGTGTTCCAGCTAAAATATTTAATAGAATAATTAAATATAAGAATTGCGATTTTTATTCGAAGACTTGCGATAGTATATACCTGTAAGATAGCCACTCATTGATGTACTTGAAATAAACAAATCATGTCTCTGATCTTTGTACTCTGCCCATATACTAGATCTATCAAGTATATTATTAACTTTCTCGCCTAATGAGAAACTTCTTGTCATGGCTTTTAAAGCTTTAACAATCTGTGCTTTTGTAGTGGCTGGATTTTCAAGGATATCCAAACGACCTTCGAGAATCTTCAATAGGTATGGTACCATTTCAGCTTCTAAGGCCTGTTCATCAATTTAGTTTAACACTTTTTATGATAAAATATAATACTTAATGACATTCATCAATTCTTACCTGTTTAATGAGTCTATCTTCATTTGTTGAGAAAAGCCTGTTCAGTGTTTCGCATGCTATTGCTATCATATCTTTTCTTGATTGCATTGCATGTTTCAGTGGACTAATACATTCTGTTTGGCAGATAGAAGATATGCATATCTTGAAGAAAATAATATCATTAATGATCGACATAATTAATTATAAATAATGTTTTTTTTGCGTATATACTAACTTCACTAGTTGCGAGTTGATGAAGTATTAGAATTGCGGACTTATAAACTGCTGGCTGACTGTTTTGTATGGCCATTTGTCGACATAATCTTGGAATATGACCCAAGGAGGGAATTTGATCTGCTAACACTGGTTGAGCTTGTAATAGACATACAAGGGCTTGTGTGCACAATTCGAGCATATCCATCTAATTGGTTAAAAATAATCAATTTTGGTTTGTTATAAAATGTAAATGTATACTATACCATCAATGCTTACATCAGTCTTTTCTTTAGACATCAAAGTTAAAATAGTGTCCATTAATTCACTTAAAAATTCCTTTGGTTTTCTAAGAGCCCATGCTGGACTACTTATAAATAGTCTAAGATATACTCCACCTATTACTGGTTCATTTGTTACCATATCAATATTATTTTGAGTATCTGGAAGTCTTAATGCAGCATAAGGATTCCGACACTGCAGTTGATAATATCTATAATACATTAAAGGTATTTATATGAATTCACGAGGAGTATAATATGGATTCTTAATCTCCTTGGGACTTACTCGTCTTTTAATTCAGTCACTATTCTTGATATTTTTGATTTTGTTTCATCATCCCAAATTAATTCAGGATTTTCTTGTCTGCTTTCAAACATTTGGACACACTGTTTTGGAGCATCACGAATGGCTTCACTGAAAAGTCGAGGTAAAAATTTCGATAAATCTAATTTGACTTTTGGTCCAGCTAATTTATCAGATGCCATTTTAGCCAATAATTCAGCTGCAGTTTCACGAATTTGTAAATTGGTTGAATTACAAAACAGATCCAAAATATAAATTACCGCTCCTATTATAAATAAAATAAAATTTAATTGATAAATAGTAAAATTGGTTAAAATGTAACAGCTTACCTTTATTCAATGCATCTTTAACAATTTTTGTTGTACCCATAAGAGCATAAAGCGTTTCTAAAATCAATAATTGACTATCTTTTAAGCTATTCAAGCATAATATTAAATGTAGAATAACCTCACTGGCTGCTATGTCCTTGACACATTTCTTATTCTTTGTTACATTATTTATAATTTTTAGAGCAGCTTTTTGTATAGGATTGAAGTTATTGCAACTTGATAACGTAAATAGTAATTCGAAATGTCCGATACATTGAATTTCTACTCCAGGATTATTTTGAATAATATTTGTTAAAGCCTCTAATGACATGACAATGCACTGTAAATTCTGATGATCTTTTTTTGTTAAAGTAACATTAATATTTAGTGAATTAATATAATCTGCAGATTTTTTTAAATAATCTAATAAATCAATCGTAAATTCCTTAGGGTTCTGGAATTGATTACAAATTTATATATATATATTTAGATATACATTAAAAATTTATATATACATTTATATAAATTATTCCTTACCTTAATCACAAAAGTTGGTTGTTCATTAAAAATTTTTACGAATATTTCTCCAATGACAAGTTCTCCTTTGTGCGCAGTGTAATTGAAATCGGTAAAATTATGCTCAAAATTATCATTACCACTAAGTTTGTCCTGAAGCTTGCCTTCAAGATATTCCGTTAATTCAGCTCTTGTACTGTTGTCCCATATTAAGTAAGGATTCGAACAATTAGAATTTAGAGTTTTTAGTATTTCCTCCGGTTTATCATTAGCAAGCTGTCTAGCTAAATAAGGTGTTAACAAACTTTCTAAAACTGCTATTATTAATGGATTATAAGGTGTTACACCTTCAGCAGTCACATAACCACCTAATTTAGTACAAGCTTTTACAGCTTGTTTGGCTAAATTATTTGCAACTTCTTGTCTATTTTCATCTTGATTTCTCTCCACTCCCCCTTCTTCTAATGTGTAATCATAATTAAACATAAATAGTAGTAGATACCATAAAGCTCCAGATTGCAAAAGCTGCATTTGAAGAATACTGTCTGTAGCAAGCGATGAAACACATTCCGTTGCCACAGAGCATAATTTCGTTAAGTGCTAGAACCAATTAAAATGTATTTTAATACTGACCTCTATGCACTTATATTTACGGCAAGACTTACCTTAAAATGTAAGACTCTGCACAAGTCTTTAATTAATTGAGGAAGCTCGACAATTTTGTCTCTACATCCTTGGAATGCACCTGCTACTGCGAAGCATTTAGTTATATGTATACAAACTTGAACAGCTATTTCATTGGGTTTACTTGATTTGTTTAAGACAGATACGCATCTACTATAAGCGTCTAATAGAACATCCAATCCACCTTCTCTTCTTAATTCTTCTGCATTAAGAGCTGAGCAATGAACTGTATGGTATGCTAATTCACTTGCTGCAGCAAGAAGTGGCGCTGCTTTAGAAAATAAACGTTCGTCGTCCGTTTCTAATTTAACCGTTTTTATTAACTGCGGATAACCTGCGTATTTATAAGGTTCAAGCTCTTCCTTATATCTGTGAAAAAGTATACTTTGAGTTTTAAGAATGAGAACAATGTTATCTGGATTTGGACCATCAGCTGACCAACAGCTTCTGCTACAAAGAAATTCATAAGCTTGATTAACAGCTTCGAACTTGTCCTGAAAAAAATTACAATATTATTTTAATTAAATGAAAATAAGAAGGTTCTTTAGTAATGTATAAATGACAGGACTTACTCTCCCTTGTGGATTTTTATCAGGATGATACATTTGTGCCAATTTATAATACGATTTTCTTACTACTGCTTCATCGTGATGTTCACTTTTTAATCCCAGAACTTTATATGCTTCATCTATAGTCATAATAGGCGGCTTCTTTTCGACTTCCTTTTTCCATGCATCCAAAACGTCTTTCAATAATTTCACCTAAATTTTTATTATAAAATCTAAATTATTATATACAATTCTATAATTATAATAAAATTCTAGTACGTATTACTTACTGGCTCTGGAATAGGCCATTGTGGAAATTTTAAAGTGTCACAAAGATGTCGCAAATAAAATATTTGACAAAATAATTCTTTTTCCAATTGTGGATATCGTACAGCAGGAA